TGCAGCTGACAAAGGGGCTGGCCAGTCCCAGGCACTGATTTTTGTGGGCAATCTATTGGGGTAAAGGCGAGCTACAAGCAAGGGCAGGGCTAGGTGTGGTTTCTGTGGAAATCGATGTAAGCAAGGCTCATAAAGGACAAGACAAAGCATTCTCCAGTTAGGAACAGAATCGACGAAATATATGGTTGTAATGAGAACACCGTCCCTCTAGTCAGAAGGTGTTCGTTGTGGGAACGGAATCTGGGTGTGAGTTACTCTGACCTTGGCATGTAGGCTTTGGCAGGACTCGCTTCTAGAAACAAGCCATTTCGGGGCCAACGCCTCACAGCCTGCTTCGGGCACTGTCAGTGTTTCGGTCCCCGGGCCTCTCCATCCTTTCTAAACCACGGCCCTTGTTTCAGCTCTCCTCAGACTGCCACGGTCTCACCCCTTTTCCTCCTGGGGATATTCTCACCTCGCCCACTTGTTGCCTCTTCCTGAGTTACCTGCCAGCACTGCGCGTGGCCAGCGGCCTGCTCCTCACTGCAGCAACCCGGAGTCCAGCGGAAGTGGAGCTGAGTAGAGCACAGATGTGGCCTCTGGGGGAATCAGTTCCTCTGCTCTCTGGTTCTCAGCCATGGTGGGGTCAGCTGGGCAAGGGATGGGGACATTCTTGGTTGTCAGCCGGGGAGGAAGCGGCTCCTGGGTGGAGGTCAGGATGCTGTCGGTGGCTCCTTAGAGAGCCCGTCTGAGGGGGCGGCGAGCCAGGTGGCTTCCAGATGGCTCCAGGATGGTGGGTGGGAGGGGGCAGGGACGCAAACCATCGCCCTCTTCTCTTCTCCCCGCTTTGAAGTGTCCCGGCCTGCCGAGTGTTCATGTGTCCCCTGCATTCCCTCTTTGCTCCTGCGTGTGTCTCCCTGGAGGGAAGATGAGGCGGAAGCTGAGGGTCGGCCGATGCGGCACAGGCATGGAAGTCTCACCCTCAGGGGTCCCAGAATGAAGGTGCTCATTGGCCTGGGTGGCCAGGCGGGGGTGGGAGCTGGGCCAGCCCTGGAAGAGAATCGTCTGAGGGGCCTCGAGGGCACCTTGCACCTTTCCGTGGCATATGGCAGGGCTCCAGCAACCATGACCCAAGAGGAAGTGGTCAGGCGGCCTGGGTTACCTAGTCCCCGGGCCCATGGTGGCGAACCCATGCCACGCGTGCCACAGCAGACTTTCTGTATCCTTGGAAGCCCTAAGAGGTTCACCACCACTGCCCTAGGCATCATTGGACTCTGTCCAGGCTCCAGTAGCAAAAGAGTTTGGACTGGGTGATTGATAAACAACAGGTATCTGTCACTGGCAGTACCGAAGGCTGGCAATCCAAGAGCAGGCCCCAGGAGGTTCTGTGTCTCTGATGGCCTGTCCCTCAGAGTTAGCGCCTTCTCACTGTGTCCTCATTCCCCAGCGGGCCAGGGAGCTCACGCTTCTGTTAGTAGCTTTTAGGCCCATTCATGAGGGCGGAACCCTCACTAATGTCATGCTGAGTATTCCTCTCCAGCATGGAGGGGAGGGGCACTCAGACCCTAGTGAGCAGCTCCCCATTTCAGAATGAATCTGGGCCTGGATCTTGTTGGCCCTTTCATCCTGTCCTCCTTGTGCCGGCTGGGACACACGAGTTAAGAGTTCCCTGTCTTCCGTCTTGATTGAAAGAGATCTGGGTCCGCAAAACACTAAACACAGATGCAGCTGTGCCACTCCCTGCTGTACCCCAAAGCATTAAAGCCGGCATGCCACAGGGTGCCTGCGTACTCGGGTTTACTGTGGCACAGTTCACAGAAGCCAGGGCTCGGAACAGCCTAGCTGCTGTCCACAGATGAGTGGGTAAAGAAAGTGTGATATGTGTGCACAGTGGAGTTTCATTCACCACGCAGAATAAAACTTGTCATTTGTAAGAAAACGGATGGAGCAGGGATTTAGCTCAGTGTTTCTACTGCCTGCCTCGAAAGCGCAAGGTCCTCTGAGTTCTATCCCCCATATCAAAAATCAATTAATTCTTAATTGGGGAATGCAGGGGAGGAGGATGGACAAAGTATGTCACGCGCATACACAAATGTGCCAAAATGAAACCCGTAGATGTGTATAACCAGTTTTTAAAAGAATAAGTAAATAAAAGTATGTGGGCCTTGGTTGTTTCCACATCTGTTTCGTGAGCTTCTTGGGGTGATTTTTAGCCCCACGCTGAAGAGGGGAAACAGAGGCCCAGCCAAGTCACGTGACACGGCCCTGGCCCTCAGCGCGGCACCCTCCCGCTGGCCTTGGGGAAATCAGGAGCCAAATGGAATGAAAGGCCACTGGGGTAGAGCCCGTGTAGGTCCAGCCCAAGAGAGGGGACTGACGCAAGGCTGTCAGCAGGAGACTTGTCTCACTGGTGACTAGGGACACGTACAGTGTGTCTTCCAGAAGGGGCTTCATTTCCGGTCGTGACCGGTGGATGAACCCCGCTACCCCAAGACGAGTGAGGTCATGGCACCCCATGTAGCTTTCTCTTGCTTTCCACCATTTTGTTTGCTGGGGAGAAATCTCATACCCCCATAGCCTGAGTCCATCTGACTGCCCCTCCGAGTCCTTCACCAAGCCTTAGCCGAAGGCCTTTACCAACATGGTTTAGACGTGGAATCTGCATTGAAGGCATAACCGAAATACAGAAGAGAAATAAGAAAGTTAATGCACCCATTGGTAGCTGTGGTCGTCAGGGTAATGGTGGTGGCTATGGAGAGAAAAAGCGGGGTAAAAGGAAAAGATAGTCACCCGTAAAGGGCCTTCCTTTGTCCTCCAGTGTGAGTCTGTTTTGTGTCATTGATAAAACACCTGAGGGAAGCCGCTTCATCCAGAAAAGAGGTTTCTTTGGACTGACAGTTCTGCAGGTCCACGGTCCTGTCGTGGCCTCGGTGGAATCCTGAGCAGGGCATCACATGGTGAGGCCCGGGGCGCGCTCCCCTGTCTCCTTGTGGAGCTCCCAGGCTGTAGTCATGGGACACCACCCTGTGACTCTCTCAGTGTAATCGCTTCCAAAGGCCCCGCCTCCAAAGGCCCCGCCTCCAAACAGCCTGAGGCGGGAGAGGTGAGCGTTTGGGGTAGGTATAGTCCCGCAAGGAGGTACACAGGGCTCTGTGCAACTGATTATAAAATTAATAGCAGCTACCATGCTGCTCTATTAGATAAGTATCAGCTGCGTATCTGATGGGTTCATTAGAACCAGGCGGTGGGGGAGGAAGAGTGGATGCATCCCCGAGGAGGAGTGGAGAAGAGAGAAGACCCGGAAAGGAGGAAGGAGAGTAGAAACGCAGCAGCTCCTTCTTGGAGGAACATTGCCCCCTGGTGGGCATTCCCGTTATTGCAGAGGCTGTGGGGTGGGGCGGGTGACCAGGGGCAGGAGCACCCAGGATGTGGAATCGGGAAACTGGGGAGTGTGAGAGTTTAAGGCCACAGCATGGGATGCCTTGGCCCTTCCCACCTCTGGCCAGGCGGCCGAGCATGGGGTCCATGCTACTCCCCAGCAGGGTCCCTCCCCCGGGCCTCTACCTCTCTAGGAGTCCGAGCTCCCCTGTACCCAGGTCATGGTGACCTAGCTCCCCACAGCCTGCACTTCCCGGTGCCATCTTTCTGTCCTGACAGAGGGCTCTTGGACGTTCCCAGTCCCCTCGCCTTCCGCCTTGCACCCCCTCCCAGTCCCTCTTTCTGTCTTGTTGCTACCTCTTCCTGAGACAGCTATTGCCCCCAACTCCAAGGTAATGTTTTGGAACATTTTCTTTCGAACACTGTCGTCATCCGGAGCTTATCTGGAAATGCCTGTAAACTCATAAGCATTTCTTTTATTAGCAGCTTACAGGGAGGAATCCATTAGGAAAAAGGGGAGAAAATCAGCAAAGGGCCAGAGATGTAGCCTGGTGGCAGAGCAGTTGCCTAGCATATGTTCACACATGTGTGGCCCCGGGGACCTTCCCGCACGCTGGGGAAAAAATAAAAACAGAAAAGGGGAAATTCCTGATTTTTCAAGAAAGTGACCGCCTCGGTATCACACTGACCAGCCCAGAGCCGTGTCGTTCCCTTTGGGTGTTAGAGCATGATTCATTCATGCCGTGCACCTGGGAGTGCTCTGAGCCAGGCACTGTTACCTCGGGCTGAAGAAAAGTGGCACGTGTATGTGTGCGTGCATGCGTGTGTGTGTGTGTGTGTGAGATTTATAGCAGGGGACAGAGACTTTACCACCAAGCTTGCCTTGAACTGGGGTCTGTGGGCCCCGACAGTTGAATTCCTGTGACAGAAACATCCAACCAGGGCATTCATATTTGCTTCTGAATGTGGGTAGCCCCAATGTCGACTGCTTCGACTGGACATTTTTCAACTTCGGGATGGTGCAGAAGTGATAGGAATCCAGGAGAAACCTTACTGCAAAGGCTGAATGGCTGTCCTGAATGGCCCAGGCCTGGGTGGGTGGAGGCCAGAGTTATGCAATTGCTTGAGGAAAGAATCAGCCCTGTACAGTGTGCTGTGGTCGGAGCATTTTGGGGGGTATTGTGTTCTTTATCTTGGCACCTCATCATGTCTTCAAAATGCCCACCTCTGTTAGCTTTCTGTTACTGTAACCAGGTACCTGAGGTAATCAGCTTATAGTGAAGAAAGGTTTATTTGGGCTCGCGGTTTCTGAGGTTTCGGGCCATGGTCCGTTGGCCCCAGTGCCTTTGGACTTGCTGTGAGCAGAGCATAATGGTGGTATCATGGGGTAGAACAGTGTGGTTTGCCTCTTGGTAGACAGGAAGCCGAGAGAGAAATGGGAAGGGGCTGGGGTCCCAATAGCCCTGGTCTTGTATCCCCCTCTGTCTGCTTGCTGGATGCCAGCAGCCCCCTGTGGCCATGCCCTGCCTGTTCCGTAAGCACATTTGAAACCCAGCGTGCTCTCGGAGCAGCTCAGCGGCAGCACCTCCGTCCCCATGTCTGCCACTTGATCCTCACCCACCTTGGCTTTCTTCACCCTGCAGGTTTTTCCCACTCGGCCTTCACGTTTGGGATCGAGAGCCACATCAGCCAGTCCAACATCAATGGGACCCTCGTGCCCCCAGCCGCGCTCATCTCCATCCTGCAGAAGGGGCTGCAGTATGTGGAGGCTGAGATCAGCATCAATGAGGTACGTGGAGGATCCCGGGCTGGGGCCAGGGGCCTGGCTGCCTGGCGGCAAAGCCCCCCACGCACGAGCCCAGCACATGGGTGTGAATTTCCTCACACTGGATTTCTGTTCCCTTGGTGTTAAAACTTTCTGCAAGTGGAGAGAGATGATTGTGTCCCTGCAGCAGCGGGTCGTGTCTCAGGCCGCTCCTGGGTGGGCCTGTGCTTTCCTCACACGCACACAGAGCCGCGCGTGCGGGCTGCTGGCTGGCGAGGGCTGTCCGTTGCCAATGCAGAAGTCATGCAGACCTTGGAGCCGGCATCAGCTCTGCACACGGACACTGATGTGCTCGCTCTCTGCTCTTGATCTTCGGTGCAGGTTGGGTAAAGAGGGACCCACCGTGCACTCAAGGACAGGATCCCTATGGTGTGAATCTGGCAGAGGGCGCGCTGGGGGCACACACACGGTGACCCTCATGAGAGAGGATGTCAAGGGATGAGTTGTTACTCGGCTTGTGGGGTGGCTGCGGGCGAGGCTGGGGCTATAACTAAAAGCCCCGCACGATTCACTTGCATGCCCTTCCATTTGTGGCAGTGGAGCCACTGAGAGCCGTGCCGATGTCATACCAAATTGGAGAATCGCTTGTCCAAGATCCGAGGCACTCCCCTCGCCTGGCTCTGCACGCAGGCTTCCTCCTGTGACCCAGTAGTCCCTTGGCATCTTCCCCCGAGTCCCTGTTCCTGGCTGCACGCTTCCCAGCCCCTTCCTCTGCCCATCTTTCTCCTCCCACGACCCAGGCACCCGGCTGTGGCCCAGACCTGGCAGCGTACACCACTTTGTCTTTGGAACGCTAAAGTGATCCATCCTGTTTGATGTCTTAGAGATCCCTCCTTAGGGAATCCCCCTTAGGGATCGTCCTCCGCACACCCCCATCTTGGCACACACCGGGCTTCTACCTGCCTGGTGCTCTTCTTCCATGGCAGTACCCAGCTCCTGTTTCCTTTTTATATTGGATGCCTGCAGGTCTTCCACCAGCCTTGTCAGGCCCTGTCTTATCTCTTTATCCTGAGGACAAACAAGTGTCAGATCCCTCGCCAGCTCTCAGATCCTCAGACTCTGAGACTTGGTTTTCCTCCGCCTGTGCATCTCTGTCTCTTTCATCTGCCTAGACGTGTTCATGGTGCTGACTTCCTCAATCCCAAGGCTGCTATGTCTAGAGGGAAAAGAAAGATGTCTCATTTCCTGTCATTAAGAGAGAGAGAGGAGAGACAGACAGACAATAGCCTTCCGAGTTTAAAGGAGGAGGTGTTTTTACTGCTGTGTCAGCGAATGCATTTTGGGACGCCGGGTAGTCCACTGGGAGGGGCCTTCACGAGGCGGGAAGGTGATAGGGAAGCACTCCATGGCCAGAATCCAGGGCACGGGGCCGTGAGGAGGGGATGTTGGATTGCTTTGCGTTCTTTTTCTTTTCTCAAATGTTGTATTGTCATCTGGGATTATCCGGGGCAACGTTTTGTTTACTCTTCCTCTGAAACGTCTGCCCCTGGATTCTTCCTCGTTTCCGAGGTAGTTGGGGTTCAGAGCATATACAGACATGTTTGCACCGCCAGCAGACACACCCAGAGGCACGCTGAGTTCCACGTGGCTCCAGTATTGGGAGTGCTTCTGAAGGAAGGGGAAGGAGCGTTCTCCTGGATTTCTAAGCATGTGTGGAAATGCTTTCAGGTTAGGTGGGAAGCAGAAAAGCAAAGGATGCTCCAACAGCTAGGACTCAGAACCAAGCACGCAGGCCGGGATTTAGCTCAGTGGTGCCACCGCCTGCCTTGCAAGCGCAAGGTCTTGAGTTCGATCCCAGGTACAAAAAAAAAAGAACCAAGCAGTTGTGCTGTCAGTTGTGTAAGGGCCATAGTTAATCTAGACCTGGAATCCTGGGAGTCCTTTCAAAGTAGCATCAGTACTTATGAAATTACATGTGCCAGGCATCTAGCTCCGAGTGGTGTAGTCACCTCTCGGCGTGGATTGGGTGATCCCAAAGCACCCCCCTCCCACATAAATGCGGACCCCCTCCGCCTGCGCAAGAACCATCCCTCCTGTGCCCTCCAGGCTGTCGCGCAGCATTCCTGGCCTCCACCCACTAGGTGGCAGGAGAGCGCAGGGGCTCCGGACACTGAGCAGGGCCCCCTGGAGGCCGACCCACCCATACTGGAGAATGGCTCCAGGGGGTGGCCATTTCCATCTGACGATGTGGCTGTGTTCAGAGGTCCGCAGCGCACGGATTCAGCCGGGTATTGCTCAGCGTCAGGTCCTGCGTTCTGCCGCTGTTCGCCCGCCCGGCCTTCACCCGCTCGCCTGAGCCTCCTGCTCCCGGAGCTCACGGCCTGCCTGCTTGCTCCCCCAGGATGGCACGGTGTTTGACGGCCGCCCCATAGAGTCCCTGTCCCTGATCGACGCCGTGATGCCCGATGTGGTGCAGACGCGGCAGCAGGCGTTCCGGGAGAAGCTCGCCCAGCAGCAAGCCAGCGCCGCGGCCTCGGCGGCGGCTGCAGCAGCACCGACCACGACCGCAGCCGCCACCGCCCCAGCAGCTGTTTCTCAGCAAAACCCACCAAAGAACGGAGAGGCCACTGTGAACGGGGAAGAGAATGGCGCGATGAGTAAGTGCGTGCTGTCTGCTGGCTCCTTTGGATCTCCTGTCTGGGGGACGAGGTGGCCTCGTGATAACTTCAGGCCACAGGCCCAGGTGAGGGGCAGCATCCTCTCTGGTCTTTCTAAAGCCCAGGAGATTAGTCCCTCTTGGGTAATTGCCCAAGAGTATTTGGCAAATAAGTCAGCCAGAGGGCCTAACCAGACACCGTGGCCCTGCTTTGGCACACTGCTTTATAGACACCAAGGGGCTCTGCTTCAGGCTCCACGTTCACAACATACCGGTACACACCTGTGTGTGTGTGTGTGCATGCAGTACATGCGCATCTGCATGAGGTCCATGCATGCATGTGTGGGTATGTGTATGTGTGCGTGGGGGGCGTGCCTGCATGTGGTGAGCATGTGTACATGTCTGTGCATGTGTGTGTGCGGGCGTGTCTGTGTTCTTCCTTCCTTGGAGATTACTTCCCTCCAAGCCCTCAGGCAGCCCCAGCAGCCGTAGAGGGTCAAGAAGACTGCCATTGGCACCCAATCCCAGCGGCCCGTTTCCACGGCCTCCGCACATGCAGAGGGCTGGCCGGCCGCCCCGATGAGGCTATAGCCTGCAGCTGAGCCCTGTGGCCAGCTGCCAGCCACAGGCCCAAGCAGGTAAACTCTGGAAGTCTGTCTCTCTGGCTCCAAAATCAGGCCAAATCCTACAAATTGTCCAATACAGTGGACCCTTGACCAATGAGCTCAATTCGTTGCGAGGGCTGGTTGGAACTCAAGTTACAATGAAGGCTCAGGCTCCTCTACACAGCCTTCAGAGTCTCTCCTGTACACAGGCAGAGCTCAGTGACCTTAGAGAGACCCAGAGCTCTTTAGGGTTCAATTTGTATCTGAGACCACCTGGAAATACAGGTGGCCGGCATTTGGGTCGTAACTGAAGACTTTGTTGGTAAGTTAACACTAAAATTCCAGTCGTAACCCAACTTGTTCATCTGTCAGGCCAGTCATAACTGCAGGGTCCACTGTAGTTTCTACAAGTGACATAAAGGCCATGTGCCTAGCACAGAATAAAAAGACCAAGACTGCAGCGTCTTTAATCACTATTCATTCGGTCTAAAATTCTGGAGCAGAAAAAGAAGAAAAGACCTGGCGTGTCCCACCGCATCATTCACTGCCTGTCCGCTGATGCGGGGTATGACCCTCAAGCTTTGAAGAGCAAAGCAACCAGTTGCAGCTGTTCCTGCAGTCTCCCATCACAGCAAGTCACTAGTCATTGGTGAGCTCTGAGAAATCAGTGTCTGTGCGGAAGACTTTCCGCAAATGTTTGAACTCAGCGATTTCATTTCCAATCTCAAGAAACCATAGCATGATGTCCATATTGGGCCGGAGCTGGACGGAGCAGAGAAAAGCATGTGCCTTAAAGCATGCTGCAGCTCTGGGGAGGGAGCTTTGGTGCTTGAGGACCTGTAGGCCAGCTCACTTTTCATATGCAGAGGAGAAACTCCTGAGCTGCTACCTCTTCCTGAGCAGCAGCTTCCTGCCCTACGCGGCAACTTCCTCTGTGTTCCTGTCCGGCTGTGAGGCAGGCTGTCCCCCGTGCTATGGTGGCATCTCCCCAAGCAGTGGCCAGACCTGAAGATAGCTTTCATTCTGCAAAAATCTATTTTCTCCTACCAGGTGGGAGAGAAGCAGCCCTTGTCAAGCCTGCTCTCTCGAGGGTGACTTAGTCAGCTTTGTGTTACTATAATAAAATGCTTGGGGAACTGGCTTATAAAGAAAGGGTTTGCTTGGGCTCACAGTTCTGGAGACTCCGGACCAGTATCAGGTGGCCCTATGACTTTGGGCCTCTGGCCAGTGTGGCGCATGGCACATGGCAGAGCAAAGCACTTATGTCTGAGCCAACAAGTACAGTGGAGAGACCAGGGTCCCATGGTGCCATCAAGACCACGGCCCCAAAGCCCCACCACCCAGTAGTGTTCCACTCGGCACCAAGCCTTTACCACCGGAGCCTTGGGGGACACTCAGCACCCTAGCCGTGGCCGTAGCATTCAGCGTGGCTTGTCACACTGTCCCTGAGCCTGCTGGGACCGAGCACCGGGCTGGGGCAGGTGGGTCGGAGCACCTGCAGCTCCACGTGGGGCCGGAAGCCTCGGAACTAAGATGGTCGCTCTGTGGAGAAACAGCTCCGGAGCGGGGGAGCAGGGTGGTGCTGGAGGACAGGGCAGGGTCACATGCGGAAGGAATGGTGGCGTTTCCCGTGGGAGCTGCCTGTGTGGAGGAGCCGCCACGGCGAGGGTCACCCCATCACTGTCCACCCTGTCTCGGGAGCAGATGCTTGTCATCTCCCTGCCTGCCGGGGAGCCTCTGCCCCCTCGAGGCACTGATTGCTCTCAGGCACGGCAGAAATGCCCTGGCCCTGGCCCCTCCTGTAGCGGTATCCGCCTGAGGACAGTGGGACCCTGGGGACACTCCGTGCCGTAGGAAGATGAGTGCTGGATTCTTTTTCTCTTAGCAACTCGTCATGAAACTTGATTGAGCTTGGAACGCCTGCCACCAACTCACACCGCATCAGAAAGTTCTTTAAATCCCAGCCAGAGCCTGGTGTGGTGGTGCCTGTGATCCCAGAGCTTGGGAGGCTGAAGCAGGATTGCTGCAGAGTTCAAGGACAGCCTGAACTATATGTACAGCGAGACCCTGTCTTAAAAAATAAAAGAACAGGGCCGGGATTTAGCTCAGTGGTTCCGCTGCCTGCCTCGCAAGTTCAATCCCTGGTACCCAAAACAATAACAGGCCAGAGCAAAGAAGCCCATGTCCCCTGCCCCTCTTCAGATCCCCACGTCGGGGGATGGGTGCCTGTTCAAATGGAGCTGTTCCAAGGACCCCCCAGCCCCAAAGAACCGAGTCCCCCCACCCCAGGTGTGTGGCCCTTGCTCAGGCTCTTGCCCCGAGCCACAGCCCGAGACCCCTTGGCACCCTGCTCAGACCAGCCCACCTATCCGGCGGAGCCTTCCCAGGCTGCCTGTGTCCAGTGTGCAGTGTCCTCTGCACCTCCTTGAGCTCACTAGGGCCCCATACTGCAGGCTGGCCAGGGACACCAGGCCGCCTCCGGTCATCGTGCCCCATGAGATCCTCAGAAGAGGAGTGAGCGTGGCTTTTCTGGTCGCCACAGTGCCTCCAGGGAGGGCTGGAGTTCGAGGCAGTGGGCATCTCGCCCCTGAGGACTGCAGGCTTTTTCGTATTTTTTTCTGCACGTTGGAGCAGGAGCAGTATAGTCACAGACAACTGCCACCAAGTGAGCAGTGAGTCCTTTTCTGCCCGGGGTTTTTCACCAAAATCCTTTACAGAAAAGATGTGAAGAAGTGTGCTTGTAGGGCTGGGGATGTAGCTGGTGGTGCCACGCCTGCCTGGCAAGCGCAAGGTTCTGAGTTCGATTCCCAGTACTGGGGAAAAAAAAGAAGTGTGCTTGACTGTACTGTAAACTTGACCAGCTAGAACTATTGCCACCCGTCTGATAATAGACTGTCCTGTCACTTCCTCTCTCACTCACATGAGGCAGGGGCTGGGAAAGGACAAATAGTTGCTGTTTGAAGCTGTGAGGCCCTAAATTCCGCCATCTTAGCTGCTCCTGCAACCAGGCAGGCGGCTTCCACCACGGGCATCTGTCCCCCAGCCTCGCAGGCAGGAGGCCAAGGTCCAGCTGTGGGCAGGGCCGGGTCCTGCCAAGGGACTCCTCTGTCCTTGCCTGAGGCACCACCTTCCTCCTGTGTCCCTCGTGACTCGTTTTACCTCAGTCTCTCCGTAAAGACCCCGTCTATAGACCCGTCCTGGGGCACCGCGGTCAGGACTCACCGCGTGGCTTGTCGGGTATGCCACCCAGCCGCAGGCAGAGTGAACGTGAGCGTGGCGGTGCCGCTCGCCTTTGCCTACAGGAATAGGCAGCGCTGAGCTGGACTCCCCGACGGGCGGCTGCCCAGTTCTAAGGATGAGTAACTGCTTTTCTCCCTCAGTCAGATGTGCAGGCTGCCTGCACGTGCGTTCTGTTGCTGCAGTGGAACGCCCGGGGCTGAGTGCTTTATAAAGAAAGCCTAGTTACTTAGCTCGCAGTTCTGGAGCCTGGAAGTGCAGGCGTTGGCGTGCCAGCTGCGCCGCACACGTGTGAGGGGAGAGGACCAGGTGGAACTGGGACCCCCAGCAGACTGGGAGTGACTGTCCTCTAGGTGCCACCTCTTCAGGGGCCATCACCTCTTAACATCCCCAAGGCAGGGCGCCCGGCTTCCAGCACGCGAGCCCTGGGGTCCAATCACACCCAGCCGCAGAGGAGTGAGGCATCGGGCAGCGCAGCGTTGCTCCAGGAGGCGGTGTCCGGGCGCTGCCCAGCCAGGGTGCTGCGGGCGCCTCCCCTGTGTACCTGAGCGTGTGTCTTTGCCTCTCTATGACAGACCGCCACTCGAAGCCCATGGAGATCGACGGGGACGTTGAAATCGCACCCAGCAAAGCCACTGTCCTGCGGGGCCATGAGTCTGAAGTTTTCATCTGTGCCTGGAACCCGGTCAGCGACCTGCTGGCTTCCGGGTAAGGGCTTCAGAACGGGGCGCCCTGAGGTCCCAGGCATGAGCCTGGGTGAGCTCCCTGCCCTGGGGACGCCGGCCTCATCCCGAGCCACCCCGCTGGGGTTGGGGTGCGATGCAGAGCCAGTCACTCGGAGGGTGGCGAGCAGGGACAGTGGCAAGCTGGCTGCATGGACAGGACAGGCCACGTCGGTGGGGGAGGCCCACCTGGCCCGGGCAGCTGCACCAACGCCACTGTGTTTGCTCCCGCAGGTCAGGCGACTCTACCGCCAGGATCTGGAACCTCAACGAGAGCAGCAACGGGGGCCCCACACAGCTGGTGCTGAGGCACTGCATCCGGGAAGGGGGGCACGATGTCCCAAGCAACAAGGATGTCACCTCGCTGGACTGGAACGTGAGCCTCTTCCACCGGCGGAGACGAGATGCAGCTGAGCCGAGCTGAAAGGACACCCAGGCGGACGCCCCCAGGGCGGTGGGGCACGCCTGTAATCCCAGCTGCTTGGGAGGCTGAGGCAGGGGGATCGCAAGTTTGAGCCCAGCCCAGGCGATTAGCAAAACCCTGCCTCAGAATAAAATGTTCAAAGGGCCAGGGCTGCAGCTGAGCGTTCCTTCCCCAACGCTGAATTATACATTTGCCCATGGTCCCTGTGTGTCAGCTACCACCCGCAAAGCTGGCCCAGGGTCCCCGATTCCAAGCACCTGTATAAGGTGGCCTTGCAGACAGACTGCAGGCTGGGTGCTGGGAAGCCACCCCTTTCCGTGGGGGATGTTGGGGCGCCCTGCGGCGGGAAGGTAGGTTCCCCAGGGTAGTTCCTCTGGGGAGATACTGAAGAAGTGTTCTGTGTCTCCTTCTGGTCCCCAGAGCGATGGGACACTCCTGGCCACAGGTTCCTATGACGGCTTTGCACGCATATGGACAGAAGATGGTAAGTCCTGCGTCCCCCAAGTTGGGTCGGATGAGAGGTGCTTCCGCTCGTGACCAGCTGGTGACTCTGAAGTGTCAACGTGTTTGTTTTAACCTCCCAGGTAACTTGGCCAGCACCTTAGGCCAGCATAAAGGACCTATCTTTGCCTTGAAGTGGAACAAAAAGGGGAATTACATTTTGAGTGCTGGTGTAGACAAAGTGAGTATCGGCTTAAAATACACCGCTTTGATCTGTAGCTGCTTATTTATCTTTAGTCTCGTGATGTCTTTGCATTCTTGGGCTTTTTGCTTCCCCTGAAGATATCAAAAGGGCTTGTTTAGGCTCTGTTTGCTTTTCAGGTCTTGCTCTTCCCTTTATAACACAGCATGTCATGGCGTATTGCTGCTGTACAGACTTTGTGCGAGGCTTCCCCCTCTTTTTAAGTACATCTTTCAGTGATGGAAAGAGGAAAATCTCCACGTCGCACACCTTAGTGTGGAAGGAGAAACTGGGCTGGGCACACTTGGCTGCCTTTCACCCCTGGCCATTTCAGTAACGAACATTGTTTCTCATTTCCGGGCTTCTGCTTTCCTCTCTGTTCTTCTGCAGTTCCTTTGTAAACTGCTGCTTCCCCTATAGACCGCAGACTTCCCTGACACCCAGGTGCCAGGGTGGACTCCAGACGGCTCCTGGAGTCCCTTGAGAATCCCTTGCATTGTCCCCAGGCAGTGCTGCCAGGTAAACACGATGGCTTTACACCCAGGAGCATCTGGAGGGCGAGCAGGGCCAAAAGTAGGGAGACAGATCCGATGTGATGCGGCCAGTCAGCTCATCTGCTGGGCCTGTTTCCTCAGGTATCAGGTGACAGGCTGGCTGGAGTCCTGACCCTCATAGCCAGGACCCAGGAGGAATTGGTAGCCAAGGCTGTTAGCCTTTCAGAGCTGTGACCAAAAAATGTGACCAGTGAAAAGGAGGGAAGGCTTAGTTTGGCTCATGGTTTCAGAGGTCTCAGTCCCTGGTTGGCTGGCTCCAAGGCAGAAACATCATGGCGGAAGAGCGTGGTGGAGGAAAGCTGCCATTTGTGGTTTAGAGGAAGCAGAGAGAAAGGGAAAGAGCCAGAGAGGAGGGGCCAGGGATAAGACATCCCTTCCAGCGTACACCCCTAGTGACCTGCTTCCTCCTACTAGGCTGCAACTCCTAACCTTTCCCTGTGACTCATGGTGCATTCATGGATGGATGAGGGTAGCATCCCACAGTCCTGTCACCTTCCAGACGCCCCACCTCTGAACACATGAGCCTTTGTGGGCATATTTTTTATCCAACCCATGAAACATGGCTGTCGAAAGAAAGTATCAAAAACTGAATACTGTACATTGCTTGGGTCTCCCACAGAGCTGAGCTGTACCTTCTGTAAGGATTTCTGGATAATTTAAAAACCTTATTAGCTTTTGGTTCATTCAAGTTCTAAAACCTAGTATAATAGGCTTATCTGACCTCTACACACCATCACATTCTTGGACATGTCGTAGTTGTGTTTGGCAGACTGTGGCCCACACAGGCCTAATAATCTGGCCCGCTGCTTGTATTTTTAAATGAAGTTTTATTGGCACACAACCACACCCATTGCTGAGAATTCTCCAAGACTGCTTTCACATTATAATGGCCAAGTTAAGCAGTTGTGAGAGAGACAGTGCTTGCTAACTCCTCCACCAGTGTGTAATGGTCTAGGTCAGTGGTGGTGAACCTTTTAGAGCTTTCAGTGATAACAAACAGCCTGCTGTAGCACACGTGCCATAGGTTCGCCACCACTGGTCTGGGTCAATGAATCATTCCTCTGTCTCTGTCTGTCTCTCTCTCTCTCTCTCTGTGTCTCTCTCCTCAGTATGCAACTTGGCAGCCTGACAGGTAATAAGAAAACAGCTGAGTGGCCGTGGTTAGCACTCCCATCAGACTTCCCCGGGGTGCTCTAATTAGAGTGACACCCATGTGGAACCCTTGGTTGCATATGCAGTCAGCCTTCAGGAATTGCTGGCTGAATTATTAAAGGAATCCAGGGAAATGGTAGCTGGCATTTACCAGTACTTTACTGCTGCACATGTTAGTCCATCCGTGCTCCCAGGACAGGAACCAGGCACCAGGAAGCTCCGCCCCGTTGGTAGAGGAGGAACTGGAGCTCAGAGTGGTCTGGTGTAGAGTAGCGGGGGACCTGGGTCACCAGTGACTACTGCCCGTGGCTTTCCTGAATTCTGAGCAGTTCTGTGCTCCCTGGCCTCCTTCCTGCCTTTCGCTTGTAGCTTTCTTCCTGGTGATCAACTCTTGACTCTCCCGGGTCACTGAAAATGCATCCTTGGAATCCCATGAGTCTCCAGGCCTACGCTGTCTGCCATGGTGACTCGGTCAAGCACGGCAGTGATGATCACAGTCACGCTTTTGACAGGATATACCCTTCCGGGAGAAAGCACAGCCTGTAGGATGCTGGTGTTGACCTTCCGTGTGTGCTTGACACAGGGCGGCTGAATGATGCTTCAAAAGTTCTTTTAGAACTTTTGTATCATTAACGTTTCCTTTTGTCCGGGGCGTATTAAACATAAGTATCAACGGATAGTCTAATTATTGATGTCATGTATGGGTCATGTCAGAGAATTAGAAGCTTACATATTCTCTGCACTGCCAGATTTGCCTGTGCATGGCTAGATTACCAAGGGTTAGGGCACAGCTAAGAAACACAAATGACTTAGTCACTTAGTCATTGTGACTTAGTCTGGAACTGACCCCAAACCTAGAACAGCCAAGTCTTCACTTGCTGCTCTGAGTGTTTCTTCCAAAAACATCTACAGGCAACACAAAATTAGCTACATCTTCTTACAGCACAATCTTACATTGTCCTTGGCAAAGAGGTGTAAAGAAAGAGGTTTCAGATAGAGCCAACAATCCCAGTTGAGGAAGGCTTCATTCCGGGAGAATTCCTCTGTGAACGCCTCGCTAGCATTCTTAAGGTCCTGAGGGTCCACTCTGACTTTGGTTTCGAAGGTGAACGTCTCCTCTTCCCCTAGCTTGGTGCCTGACCCACAGCAATCCAGCACTCCACTCCTGCATTCACAACATTTGAAACTGAGATTTGGGAGTTTTTCCCATCCGGGGATATTTGCAGACTTTACCAGCTGAGCATGTCTAATCCGAAAATATGAAATCAGAAATGCTCCAGGCCGGGGGAACGGGGCTCAGGGGTAGAGCGCTCATGTAGCCTGCATGATGCCCTGGCTTCCATCCTAAGTTCCAGCAAAGAAAACAAAGCAAAGCTCCAGAGTCCAAAACTCTTTCTGGCATCATGGCAATTCTCTACTTCTTTTTTGGTACCAAGGATCAAACTCAGGACCTTGCGCTTGCGAGGCAGGCGCCGGAAATCATGGCAATTCTCGAAAAAGTTCTGGGTTCGGGTTTTTGAATTAGGGGTAGTCAGTGTTTACCCCCAATTCATGGAGTGACGGAGGGATTTTCAGAAATGCCCATTTCTGCAGCTCTTTCTTTGCAAAAATGCCAAAAAGACAGGCTTTGTTAGCGGTTTTCTCGTGGTTTCTAAAGAAACTCCCCATCCATTTCGGTGGGGCCGAGGGGGACCCCCCCCAGTTTTGGTAGCTTTGCCAGGTGTCTCCTGAGCCTGCTCAGCACGGGTGGCTGGCGTTCAGGGTGGCCTCCGTCAAGGGTAAAATAGACGCAGCACTCGCGACACCTAGGGTGGACAGCAAGGAATGTCAGGCGCCTCGTTCATATTTTTATGCCGATTACATGTTGAAACAACAGTATTTTGGCTGTATTGGCGTAAAATAAGTTCTCCAAGTTAACTTCACTAATGTCTTTCTTCCTCGTGTTTAATGGAAAATGCCCCAGGGCTCACAGGCCTGATTTGGAAGGAAGTCGGGCTGATTATCTTTTCTCACAGGACGCGTTTTTCTGGAGGAGTCTCTGTGAGAGCAGCTACTAACTTTTCCCTTTGTTTGCGGAACAGACGACGATAATTTGGGACGCCCACACCGGAGAAGCCAAGCAGCAGTTTCCTTTCCATTCCGGTGAGCTTGCTTTTGTCTGGAGGGGCACGGGCTGACCCCGGAAGTGGTTATTCAGCCGGGCCAGTGTTGCGGAGAAAGGGGGATAAGGTCAAGAGCCCCGAGGCTCTCACGAACCGCGTCACTGGGATTGGAAGTGCGGGGACAGCCTGGAATACTCCAGAACCCAAGGCCCGCCCACACCGAGTCTTCCCCCGTCAGGGGCGGGCACTGAGGGGGTCCCCGCCAAGCCAGGAGGTCTCTGACGGGGTCAAAGACCGGGGAGAGAAAGGCAGTCTGGGACTGCAGGCCAGAGAGAGCTGGGCCCTCTTCCCACTTGTGTTCACTTGCCTTTCCGGGATGCACATAAGCCAGGCCCAGTAGTGTCCACCTGTAATCCCAGCTACTGGGGAAGCTGAGGCAGGGGGATCACAAATTCAAAGGCAGTCTGGGCAATTTAGGGAGACTCTGTCTCGAAATAAAAAAATAAAAAGGGCTGGGGGTGTAACTCAGGGTTAGAGAACCTGCCCTAGCATGCACGAGGCCCTGGGTTCGGTCCCCAGTACCACTGGAAGAAAGAGAAAAAGAAAAAAGAAGCTCATGTAAGATGACGTTTTGCACTGAAGGGCTGATGAGAATATTGTGGCTGGTGGCTTGCAGAAACCCGGCTGTCGTGTTTCCTGAGAGCCCCTGCCTCCGGATTCACCACCTCGGTGTTTGTGGCTGCTGGATGACTGAGCTACACCCCTGCCCCCTTTTTATTTTAGCTTGAGATAGGATCTTGCTGACTTGTCCAGAGTGGCCTTGGATTTCTGCTCCTCCTGCCTCAGCCTCCTGAGTAGCTAAGATAGCTGGTGTGCGCTATGCCTGCCTCTTTCCTCTCCCTCCTCCCCCTTCCCCTCCCCCTCTTCCTCCCCTTTCCTTCCCCTCCCACCCATCTCACCTTTACTCCTCATCCCTGCCTGCAGAGACAGATCCAAAGTCCACTTCTCACTGGCTCCCTGGCTCTCTCCTTGACCCACCTTGGTGCAGTGGGATGGTGATAAATGTCCAGAAAAGGAACCAGAAGGTCAAGAATGAGAACCATGAGCAGGACGGGATGCAGGGATCAGAGAGCTTTCCCCAGCTGCTTTCCTGCTGCATCTCGTCTTCCTGCCACGATAAAGAACCACACTCCGAGACAGGAAGTGGGCAAGTGTCCACACTCTGAGACAGGAAGTGGGCAAGTGTCCACACTCCAAGAGACAGAAAGTGGGCAAGAGTCCACACTCCGAGAGACAAGAAGTGGGCAGGTGTCCACACTCTGAGACAGGAAGTGGGCAAGAGACCACACTCTAAGAGACAGGAAGTGGGCAAGTGTCCACACTCTGAGACAGCAAGTGGGCAAGAGACCACACTCCAAGAGACAGAAAGTGGGCAGGTGTCCACACTGCGAGACAGGAAGTGGGCAAGAGTCCAGAGAGGGCCGGGGTTCAAGAAGTGGCATGAGGAGGTGGCTGGTGACGGGGACAAGGCACCCCCAGGAGCGAGGGAGGAGGAGGACGCTCTTCCCAGTCCTGAACTGTGCAGCTGCTGCAGTGTCCCGGGGGATTCTTGGGAGACCAGTTGCCCACCAGGCGGGGGGATGCATTAGTGTGTGGCAGATTTGTTTAATTGAAATATCTTTCTTTTTTTTTTTTTGGTCCCCTGGATGGAACTCAGGACCTTGCACTTTCAAAGCAAGCATGGTACCACTGAGCTAAACCCCTGGCCCAAATTGAAGTATCTTGAACATAGACTATGCCATCTTCTCCCTCTCCCTTTGGCCCCGCCCTATCTAAAAATAAACCCAGTCCCCCAAGGGGCACGGGCGGGCAGCCCCCTGCTTGTCACCCCTCTTTCTCACCCGTACAGTGGAGCCAGACCTGCAGCACACCCTGGGGCTCAGGAAACGGCCCACGGTCTCTTTCCAGAGGCAGGTAGTTGTCCCTACAAACTGGAAGGAGAGTCTTTCAGGTCTTTGAAGGAAAGAACCCACCTTCCCACTAGATGAGGCTTGCTTTAGTTGACTGTGGTTTAGTTTTTCTAACTCACCCGAGCTGTGCGCAGTCAGAGTGTGAACGTCTTCCCTCTGCCCTGCCCGCAGCCCCGGCTCTCGATGTGGACTGGCAGAACAACATGACCTTCGCCTCCTGTAGCACGGACATGTGTATTCACGTGTGCAGACTCGGCTGCGACCGCCCAGTCAAAACCTTCCAAGGACACACGGTAAGCGGGTGTCCTGACGACTGGACACAAGTTCATGTGTGTGTGATGTGCGGGCTAATTCTTTTATACCTAGAATTCAAAGATGTGGTGACCGCAGACCTGTTATTCTTCAGCCCTTAGCTCCTGGGACTGTTGCAGCTGCCCCAGAGGGTTGCGACAGCCCAGCTGTGGGTAGCAATTGAGAAAAGCAGACCCTGGCATGACCCAGGTGCTGGGTTTTGTAGCAGACTTTAAAGCAGCTATGAGAATGTGTGAGGACATGAAAGAAAAGGTGCTCATAATAAATGAACAGATGGAACATGTCCACAGAGAATGGAAATCTGCATTGTGACAAACCAGAGGGAGAGTTGAGAACTGAGGTGGACAGGTTCTGTAATGAAAATCTTACTGGAGGAGTTTACAGCAGGTTGGAGATTGCAGACGTAAAGTTAGTGCACCTAAAGAAACATGGCAGAGATTGGGCAATTCAGAGAACATGAGCAACTGCAAAAATGAATAGTGGTTTCACACCCCATGCGACAGTATCATGTACTCTACGCTTGTGGAACAGGGAAAGAAAAGGGATAATGGAACAGAAAATATATTTGATGCAGTCACATCCAAGTTTTCCTACTTGGCATCAACACTCAATCCAAGATATTCAGCAAACCCCCAAGCAGAACAAATATAAAGAGAATCAGGGCCGGGGATTTAGCTCAGTGGTTCCGCCACCTGGCCCAAAAATGCAAGGACCTGAGTTTGATTCCAGGTACCCAAAAAATCAATATAAATCAATAATAAATAAAGAGAATCACACTTGTATCCCCAGGTGTAGTATGGTCACCAGACAACAGAATTCAAGGTAAAAATCATGAACGCACCATCGGGGAGCAGTAGTGTGACCGGCACTTGACATGGCAGCTTCCTTACAGGATGGCAGGTCCCTCCTCAGTAGCACAACCCCCGAGAGCACCTCACACCTTCCCAGCCCTGTCCGAAATGCCCCCGCCTTCAGCAGCCTCGGTCCCACCCCAAACCCTCCCCATATTCCCAGCTGCCGTGCAAACCCGCCCACTCCCGCTTCCTGTTGGGGCGCCTCATCCTTGGCCTTGAGGTGGCTGCCAGTGTGGGAGGGCTGTGCCCATAGGCCGAGGAAAAAAGAGCTGCCACCGCGCCAGTGTGGCAACTGACAGATTCCCCTGCCTGCGGCGCGCCTGGCTCCGTGGTCCCAGCCTCCTGGAGCAGGGCCTTTTCGAGCGCCTCTTCCCTTTCCCCAGCCAGCCGTGCCACGCGGAACACAGATGTGGCCTTGTCACTTCTCCACTTCACATCCTTCAAACCTCGGTGTCCCTAGAAAGGAACCTGACCATCTGGTTTGTCACCCACCCCGGAGCACCTGGGAGCGTGCACTTCTTCAGAAAATGAATTGTGCGGGTGAAATGATTTCTTAGGCCAAGACAGCAGGCGTAATGTTTACTTCCCCGTCCACCAAAAGACAAACGTGCGGCTGGGGATTTAGCTCAGTGGCACTGCGGCTGCCTCACAAGTGCAAGGTCCTGAGTTCGAGCCCCATCAGAAAAGAAAAAGACAAATTGCAGTGATGAACTTAGAGGGGTAACTGTTATGTTAAAGTGCATAGAAAGATCATGGTCAAAGTCTGGCGCTCACGATGACTGGCTTTATTGCTTCTATTTGCTGTGTTTGTCATACGTGAATTCTTCATTCAGCTTCCTCCCTCGTAGAGTCTTTTTTCCTCAAAGAAATACAGATGAGCATGGCTGGTTATGTGTGGTAGATGCTGTGCTTTTGTGTAAATGAAAAGACAGAGTGAGAAGAAAAAATACGGGTTTGTATGTTGGGTTCTTTGAAATCCAGGGTAAATCCTGGAAGCTCTTTGCAGCGCTGATGGAGCGCGACCGCCCCCTGGTGGACGGTGGCCGCCATGGCAACTCAGCCTTCAGTTGTCTTCTATTTGCAACTCTGCTCTCTTGCAGAATGAGGTCAATGCCATCAAGTGGGATCCTTCTGGAATGTTGCTAGCATCCTGCTCTGATGACATGACATTAAAGGTAAGCCCCTTCCTGGGCACCCAGCAGCTGACTGGCCTACTGACACCCACAGGCTGGTGGGTGTCTCGCAGGGGACAATAATAATAAGAAGAATAATAAGTGATGCTTAGTCATCCCCAATGTTTCCTCTAGATCTGGAGTATGAAGCAGGACACGTGTGTGCACGATCTTCAAGCTCACAGCAAAGAGATATACACCATCAAGTGGAGCCCCACGGGGCCCGCCACCAGCAACCCCAACGCCAGCATCATGTTAGCGAGGTAAAGAGAAGTCAGCCGGGGCCCCTGGCTCTGTTCCTCAGCTCAGTGGCCTGCCATTGGCTGAGCCCCTGGCCAGGAAAACTCACATGCCAAGAGCAGAAGAGCCCGCTGGAAGGTGCTGGCAGTGGGTTAGAGCCCAGCCAGACTACACAGCGTGTAGTGGGAGGGGCCAGCCAGCTATAAACAGGGTCCTCGCTGGACATGCACGTGGTTCCAGCAGCCACCCAGGATAAGACGCAGGGGGCTCAGTCCCTGGGTTACATGGCCTTGAATCTGCATAGAACCTGTGCACTTGATGACTACTATGCCTAAACAGTGGCAATGCTGTGTAAATAGTTGTTAGACTGTATTGTTTTGGGACTGACAAAATGTCTGTGTGTGTTCAGTACAGATGTGGTTCTTTTTTTTTTGGTACCAGGGATCAAACTCAGAACCTTAAGCTTGCCAGGGAGGCACTATGCTGCTGAGCTAAATCCCCAGCCCAAATTCACACATTTTTTTTTTTTTCCCTCGGTATCAGGGATTGAACTCAGGACCTTGCACTTGCCAGGCAGGCGTGGTGCCACTGAGCTACATCCCCGGCCCTGTGGTTCTTTTTTTATGCTAGTGTTTTTGTTGGCTTGCTTGCCTTCCTGTTTGCTTGTTCTGTGGGACTGGGATGAGACCCAGGACTTCGAGGGTACCAGGCAAGCGCTCCTCCGCTGAGCTGTACACCAGCCCTCTTGGGTGTTTTTGATCTGCAGCTGGCTGAATCTGCGGGTGTGGAATAGGCTGAAAGGAAGGGATGGCAGGGTCGATGGGAGGCAAGGATCGTGTTAACTGTGAGACCAGCGGGACGAGTGCGTTCTGTCTCCAGGCTTCAGACACTTTGCTTTTTGTTAAGACAGAAACAGGAAGGGGTTAGCTGGGACCTTTACTGAGCTCAACTCAGAGCTCTTGGCAGTGAGGATTTATTTAGATAAGGGTTCCCGGGCTCCAAAAGGTCTGGCCTGATCTTTTACGTGGTGAATCCACTGAGACACCAACACAGAAGTGGTGGGGCCAGTTAGCCACACGAGGACTGGCAAGAGTGGTCATCAGGGACAAAGATGGCCACCCCAACCACATCACCCTTGCTTAGGTGACAGAATTACTGCACTTGATGCGCATTGGGCTCCCAGGAATATAGCACTCCCCTCTCGGTTTTGTTTTACTTTGCAGCGCTGGGCTTGAGCCCATACTAAGCAAGTGCTCAACTAGTGAGCCCTGCCCCCAGCCCGGCTCTGGGACTTTGATAAGATTCTGAGGCCCGAAGCCAGGAAACAGGATAGTCTGGAAACCGTGCTGTGGATCGCTGGGGTTTGCCTCCATGGAATGTGGATGTCTGTTAAGAAGATGTAAGAGGGATATTCAGTTACCAGGAAGTCAGGGGGTTTATTCTGGGTAGTCCCACAGAAGGGGAAGAGGTGGCAGGTAGGCAGCGGGGTGCGTGGCAGCGAGGACTCCTGTGGAAGTGTCCATCCCAAGGCCGAATCTGAGAGACAGTGGGAAGGAATTCAGGCATCAGCCGCGTGGCCGAATCAGGATGACCCAAAGGCCATCGCTCTCCTATTCCAAGCCCTTGTCCTACAATCCACTTACATTGCAGTGGTACAGTATTACACACTCTAATCATTTTTTGAAGTCTAGGAAGGTGCTTTTGTGACACACAGCACCCATTAGGAGCATAAACTCTCCTTTTGTCACCAAGTACAAAAGGGACCCTCAGTACCTTGGGGCTCTCTGTTGAGTGGAAGAAAGCCAGATAACAACTTAGCAATCCATACCCTGTTCTTCTAAATTTGAAAACAACTAAAATTTGCGGCACTTGGCAGTGTAATCTTGTATGTGGATGTGATTGTCTTTTAATGCCTCTTGGGTTAAAAATTTCTTTTAAATGTGTATCCACTCAGTTTGCTGGGGTTTTTTTCTGATTATAGCTAGGCACATTATTTAGTTGCTAAAATAGGTATGGGTTGTAAATTGTAGGAGTGCTTTAAGTGTCCCACCAAAGTCTTTATCATTCATAATGATAGAAAGTGAAGAAACACATGAATATGGATATCAATTTATGTCCCTAATAACAGCACCAAAACTTATTTTTTGGTTTTATGACTAGCTATTTTTCCTTTTCTGATATCAGGGATCGAACTCAGAACCTTGCGCTTGCCAGGCAGGCGCAGCGCCACTGAGCTACATCCCCGGCCCTACAGCTTTGTGTCCTATGCGTATGAGTTTACCTTTCAGAAGAAGAAGGGCTCGCTGGTTTATTGTGTCTTGGACGGGAAGGCTGGGAAAATTAAAAAGGAAAACTCGTGTGAGATCTGCTGTGCGCCGTGGAGGTTTAGACGGCGTGCTTACGCGCGTGTGCTTCCTCTGCTGTCTTCCCAGTGCTTCGTTTGATTCTACGGTTCGACTGTGGGATGTGGAGCGAGGCGTCTGTATCCACACGTTAACCAAGCATCAGGAACCTGTCTACAGTGTAGCGTTCAGCCCTGATGGGAAGTATTTGGCCAGTGGCTCCTTCGACAAGTGTGTGCATATCTGGGATACTCAGGTAACCAACCTCTCGGTCCCCGTGGTTGAACCCTCCTCGCAAACATGCCCAAGCAGCCAGGTGGGCTGTGGGTCCTGGCCGGGCAGGACCTTGGGCTCAGCATTGAGTTGCGGAGATGGAGAGTGGGCTGAACTCCCCGACTGGGTGCTGTCTGCGGGGAGTGCTCTGGGAGGGGTCCCCACCTTCTCTTGGCTTTTTCCGAATCCCCGGCAGGGAACCTGCCTTGTGCCTGGGGAAAGCACAGCCCAGTTGTGTTCTGCCTGGGAGTAGTGCCCGGGGGTGTGTCCCTTCATCTAAGCTTTCCAGGGGGACCCACCAACTCCATCAGCACCGCTGTGGAGCCAGTCGGGGCCGGAAGGAGTATGTGTGACTGTCAGATGAAAGCGTCACATGGGTATCAGGACTGGGTTGTCCTTTCTCTGGGGACTGACAAGAGGTGGGATTGGAGTAAATTAGCCATTGTGGGCATCTCTGGCAACAGAAGAGTCTTCAGATGGCCCAGAGTGGCTGAGAAAGTCTCAGCAACACCAGCGGGGGAGCACCTGCCTGGCATGCACAAGGCCCTGGGTTCCGCCTCTAGCACCCCAAGGAAAAAGCCAGTGGGGAACCCATGAGCCAAAGTTCCCCATCGGCCAAGTGTGTGTCTCTCGGAACACCTGTCTTAGGCTGCCTGGTGCCATCGGTCATTGACTGATGACAGCCATGGCCCAGGCTGAGACAAGGTACCAGTTCTGAAGGTGGCTGGAGGTGAGGTCTCCTCGGGCCACAACTAGCAGAACGTTTACAGGAGATCCTTCCAACTCCTCTGTGCCTGAAAGTTTCCCTGGTCAACTATAAGGGGCAGGGAGCAGAGTCCAGCCCACAGCCCAGCTCTCGGGAGCTGGGCACGGCCTGTGACGGTTGCTTTGCTTTGCAGAGCGGAAGTCTGGTCCACAGCTACCGAGGCACGGGCGGCATCTTCGAGGTGTGCTGGAATGCTCGAGGCGACAAAGTGGGTGCCAGCGCGTCCGACGGCTCTGTAAGCGACACCCTGGTTTGTCGGGGATGGGGGCACATCCCGTCCAAATGATGTGGAGGAAAGGTGCTTGGGTGGCGCCGTGTCTGGAAATAGCCTTTTGTCCCTTCCAGAAGGCTCTGCCCCCAGAGATGATCAGGCGAACCTGGAGCCATTTTATCTCCATGTTTGTGCCTCAGCCCAGGCCCCCTGGTGACAAGACATACTCTTTCCCTCTGCATGGGTCCCTTGGGTCCCCATGGGCCTTGTTCTGCCCCAGGGGGACATCTAGGAGGTTCGGGGATTTTTCTTGATCCAGCTTTTCCTTGACCCGACTTTTGCTTGAGTGCGGCTGGTCAGATGCTCAGAAACTGGCCTGCTACTAGAGATTCTCTGGCCCTCATGCTTCTGTTCCAATAAAACTTCATTTATAAATACATCAGAGGCTGTCCAGGTGTGGTCCCAGAGCCATACTTATGCCGCCCTGTGTTCTGAAGGCATCCTGTGGTGCTCTCAAGCTAACAGGCGCTTCATCCTTCCTTCCAGGTATGTGTTCTAGACCTGCGAAAGTAAACCCTAAATATTATAGAGAAAAGAAGAATTGTAACGGACCAGCAGTGAATGTGTGGGGTTGCAGCACTCCTCCACCCGTCAGCTCCGAAACAGTACGAATGCAGACGGTGTTAGAGTGTGCTTTGACGCCAGCTCGTCCCTGGCCACGGGAGTCTGTGATATCTTTTCGTAATCTTCATCCAGAAGTTTAAAAACCAAGCAAATCCAAGAGCATACACACGGTCGTATCAAGGAGGGGGAAGGGTCTTGGCCTAGGACTTTCCGCCGGGGAAGGATGAAGCCACCCGTGGCTACTTCCATCCACCACAGGCTCTGATGGCCGAACGGGGGGAAAGTGCCAGAAAACAAGAAAAGAAAAGGAAAATGCTGTGATAAACCAAAAGGGGAGAGCGCACCTCCGCCTTGTGCTGACCCCGCCCCCCATAATTTGGACGCTACAGTTGCTCCGGCAAAGGATGTTCAAAGACCAGTGTGTGCCCATGAGACGCGCAACTTGGTAATCCCAACGCTTCTGGTCTCTAGGACCTTCTTTGTTCAGTGGTGTTTCTCTCCGCTGGAATTCTGTCTCCCGTGGGCTTTGGGTTGAGATGGAAGCCGTGTGGGGTTTGCTGTGTCCCGCCCCCCGGTGCCATTTCCCTTGGTCTGGTGTGGTCTTGCTCTTCATGACACCCGTGGTACATGTGGCCACGTGGACATGACGACAGGCATGGGCGGACAGCTTTCTCCCCCGCTGGCCCCTCCACCCGCCCCCTCCGCTCACACTCTTTTCTGTCCTTTCTCTTAGTTGCTTCACATCTGAGGTCACAAGGGCACTTTCAGCGCATCAATTAAGTGCTTTATGTAAGAAAGCAGGGAGGGGGACTTTTTACAGGAGAAAAAGAAAATGACTTATAGAAGAAAGAGCCTGGAGTATTTTTGAAAAAAAATATTTTTATGTTAAAACGATTTTACAATCCCAAAATGGCCATCAGACACAGAGAGCTTTGTGTGATGCATATTTTAAAAACAAAGACGTTTAAGAAGACACAGGCAGAGTCGGAGGTAGCCTGGCCTTTCCCTCCTGTGGCGTGGAAGGTGGCAGCAGGCTAGGGGGAAGTGGCCGTCCCCAGCGACAGACAGCGTGGTCCCCTCACACATCTTTCTCGGCAGTACCCATCACCAAGAACACGCCCAGTGAGCCCCTGCGGGACTCCCCTGAAGGCTCCAAAGGGCCACTCCGTCCAGTGACAGAACAGGAACACTGGAGGAAGACCTTCAGCCCTGAAGATGAGTTCTTCCATAGGTACAGCGTCACCCACCACTTCCGCTGGCTTTATCATTTTTCTCTCACCGAAAACGAGATTTTTTTTTTTTAATGATGAATCTTTTTACTATTTTGTAAAAATTAAACACAGCTCTGTGTCCCTGGGACGGTTTGCTTTCACTGTATCTAGTGACCTCTGTACGCTTGTCATTACAGTGTGGCCCTGGCCCTAGCAATGGCTGAACAGACTGGAAGCCGGGCCCCTTCCTGAGAGCTGAGGGAGGGCCCTGGCCGTGGCTGGTGGCGGTGGACTGCGCTCTTCACCCGAGGCAGAGTGTTATTCAGAGAGTGTCCGTCCACGGAGCCGGAAGTGGCCATCTGCGAAGGGCAAGAGCCTCCCCCAGCCCAGGATATACAGGACCAGCCCCACAAGCCACTGAGTGCCGGACCACGCCACTGGCACCTGGGAAGTGACTGGACCCCAAGCAGACCAGCGAGGGCCATGTTTTTGGGTGGAGTATTGGATCTGGGCTCTGTTACCTAAACACTCGACATAGGAAGCCAACGTTCTCTGAAGTCGCCGGTGGCAGGAGTCCTCACTCCGAGCGAGCGTGCATCAGCTTTGGGATGCAGGCCGGCCAGACAAGCACCACCTGCAGCACTCCCTAAATCAAAACACGTTCATCTCCACTGAGCATCTGCTGTCCAACGTCAGCCCGTTGTCGGGATACGGCTTGTGTGGATCTGCCGTGGGGTGGGGATGGGGATGGCCGATAAGGGATTCCAGAGCTGGGGTCTCACTGAGGTGCTGGCCTAGGCCTGCACCCGGGGCTGTGAGCCCTGGCAGACAGGCTCTTCCCTGCACGAAATGGACCACTCATGTACCCTGCTGTTCACTCCCCAGACATCCATCCTGCTCTCAGCAAAATGACGCAGCTGCAGGCTGTGTCCGGAGCTGTCACGTTTGCACTCTGCTGGTCACCTGGCCCCCAGAGCCAGCACGGTCAGCTCTGTGGTCTAGGTCCCTGCATGTCGTGTTTCCAGGCATCGTCTGCGTCTCTTAAAGAAGTGTGAGGGATGCTTCAGTCTTAGTGACCAAATGTAACCTTGAAAGCAGGCATATGTGACCACGAGCCTCGCCCAGCACAAGCCTGGGAAAGGGAGGCTGCCCCACAGGGGACCAGAAGGACCACAGGGACATTACAGGGTCAGCTCTCCGACCCTGCACGACACTGATGCCGTAGGACTTGACCTTTTGTTCTGTCTTTCTCAACATCGATCACGGAGCCAGGTCAAGTGCACTTCGTCCAATGTAAGGATCTGCTTCGTTCCTTGTTAGTTTTTTCTTTTTTAACCTCGTTCCACCTTCTTTTTTTTTTCATTGTGTCTCTTGTCAAATGCAGAAATGTTTCTTCCGCCACTCGCTGAAGTTTTGAATTCTGGCTTCTGCAGTTTTTATTGTCTGTGTCAGACATTCAGCCAGATGTGGTTCTCTGTCAGCATTTTCCAGATTCTGTTCAACAGCATCAACCCAGCGCCCTGTTTTGTTCTGTACCCCCACCCCCACTCATCCCTCACGCTCTTGGAGAAAAAAATCACCTCGTGTGTTGTAGTGCATTTGTTTCCAGAGAGAATCAACAGATCATATTCAGTGTCTTGAATAAATTGCTCTATTTTGATATTAGAGAACTTAGTGGCTGTGTTTTTTGCTTTGATTCTGTAATTCCTGGGCCCACATCGACACTGGTGACGTGACAGATGAAGGTGATGAAGACAACTCCGCATTTTCTCACGATGAAAATAACCTGAGTGCCTCAGTGCAGGATTGCTCTGCTACACAGGGGAAGGGGAGGGGATGCCATGACTGACAGTGTCATTCGCGGCCCAGCGCTGTGAGTCCAGAGGAAGGCACAGGTACTTACGGATGGGTGTGTGGCCCTGGAGAGCTACAGGACCAGTTGGATCCCCGCCATTAGGATCAAACTCAGGGACGTATACACAGACTAGAACGGAAGGGGCCGCATCCTAGCTGCAGTGTCCCTGGCTTATCTCAAACTAATATCAGAGTCAGGCACATTCCTGTAGCTGGGGTGCAGTTGTAAAGCTTCGTCCTGATGCTTTTGTCCTTTTGTTTCTTTGAGGGCACCTGCACAAGACAAACCAACCAGGGTTACTCTGCAGCAGGCGTGCTAGTCACGACCCAGGATGGCTGCAGTCGGGACAGGTTGGATCCACACAGTTGTGCACAGTGGGCCCTGGCTATTCTAGGTCATTACCTACAGGGAGCCTGGACTTCAGTATATCCCCTTTTGTATTTTACTTCATTTTTTTGTTTTTGTTTTTTTGGTACCAGGGATCAAACTCTAGTCCTTGCGCTTGCGAGGCAGGCACGGTGCCACTGAGCTAAATCCTCAGCCTTTGTTTTTTAAAAGGCAGAGCAAATGTATTTTTGCTTGTTAGCAGGTTGATGTGCTGAGAGCTTGAGATCAAGGATCAGCCCTGAGTAAAGTGAAGAACTCAGGTTCTTCATGGGACACACATAACTTGGGACACTGAATTGTGCACAGTGCAAACCAACACATGGCAAAGGCTCTACATGTTTGCCCAGTGCCCAACCCTACCACAATTCCACTTCCACCATGTTAATGCATTGCCGTGTACCTTGGCCTTCTGTGAGCTAATGTGGATTGAGAAGGGACAGGTGGGTCAGCGAGGGCCTTCTCGCTTGGTCGAAGGCTTTACCAAGCTTCTCCGTTTCTCATATTAGGACAGAAAGGGGCTGGGGTCCATCCCCGGCTCTGTGGATGACTGCCTGGGAAGTGTCCAGGAACACCTGCCTGCAGGCTTTACCTGTGTATTGCTCAGGCTCCAAGAGGGGCCAGATCACAAACGCTGCGAGTCACTGAATGACAGACGTCCTGAGAAGCGCTTCATCGGCTGATGTGTCATGTGATCATCAGAGCTTGCACAAACCTAGATGGTCTCGCCTACCGCACACCTCGGCTGTACAGGGGCCGGGATGTATATATACAGGTGCCGCGCCTGCCTGGCAAGCACAAGGTCCTGAGTTCGATCCCCGGTACTGAAGGACAAAAACACCTAGGCTGTATGGGAGAGACAGAAGGGAGGGAGATAGGGAAAGGAGAAAGAAAGGGAGGGAGGAACACAAAGAATAAGCTGTTGCTCTTGGGAGCCATGGTGAAGGAAATAAAATGAAATCGTGCACAAGAGAAAATGATGCCACCGAGAGACGCACAACACCCAGGACGTGTGAGGCTGACATGTGTCTTGAACTGGCGACTTCAGACTGTGGTACAAGAGCAGTAGGAGAATAGGAGAAAACCTGTTCCTGCCGTGTGTGGGCCTGCTTTTTGGGCTTTTTTGTTTTCTTATCCCCTACCAAGTTGGCCACGAATTCCCAGGTGGCAAATGTGGGCTGAAGTTTTGAGCTCCCCGAGCCTACTTCAGAAACCACAGGAAGCCTGGGTGGAGGCTTATGCGGGAGGCAGGCCGAAAGCAGAACTCAGCAGAGTGCCCAGGACACAGAACCATGGCTGTGATGTGGATCTGGTGGCCATGGCCACGATGCAGGCCATGTGTGGCTTTGTACGGATTTCTGTCCGCTGTGGAGGGAGCTTATGGCCCCCGATTGCTGTGCCTGCCTGTGTCTCATACAGCTCTGTGTGCACCCGTGCATGCTGTCTGCTGATTACAAGGGATTGGTTCCCACTGCTGAAATGCCAGGCGCTACCTTGCAGAGTGGGTGAGACAGGAGGTAGGGGGTGGACCAATGCCCTCGGTTGACTCTGGATTTGATTGGATAGATTTTCCCACTCCGGGTGCTGTGTGTCATCCACAGCAAGGAAAGTGAGGCCAGAACATGCAGTTCCATTAAGGAATAGGATCAGGAGGGCCAAGGATGAGTAGGGGACCACATGGAGAATGGGATGTGGAAGGCTGATCTGGTGGTGCACGCCTGTCATCCTAGCACTCAGGAGGCTGAGGCGGGAGGATCATCAGGAGTTCCAGGCCAGCCTGAGCTACACAGTTGAATTCAAGGCAAGACTGGACTACATCAGTGAGACCTTGTCTCAAAAAGCAAACAAACAAAACCTTTGGTAATGAATAGAGCTATCCTGGAGCAAAGAGCCGTAGACACGCACAGGAAAATGGCTGGGTAGATGCACCCTCTTATCAGCACAGGACTGTAGGTGACAGTGATAACTTCCTGTGAGATTAGGGAAAGCAGCCAAAGAGGCTTGCTATCGCGATGAATAAACTGACTGGTAAGTCGGCTGATCAATTACAGCCTAACAGACACTGGGGCACAGGCTCACCTGCTCCAGCCGGACTCCCCCCTGCCCCCGCCTCCTCCACGACCAGTCCAGACCCCTGGCTGTAGGGCACACCCCCCTCCCGCTGCAAGGATGTCCCTCCCGAGGTTACCCCCAGTCGCCATGCCTGTCACCTCTCACTCGGGATCACTCCCCCCGACCTCAACATAACGCTAGCATCTTTTTTTTTTCCCATACTAGGGATTGAACCCAGGACCTGTGCTCTGAGCTACATATCTAGCCCTTTTTTATTTGAAGGCAGGGTCTCACCAAGTTGATAAATTGCCCAGGCTGGGCTTGCCTTTGGCGACCCTCCTGCCTCAGCCTCCCAGGGAACAGGGATTACAGGTGTACAGCACCATGCCCGGCTTAGGATCTGCTATCTGTAAAGCAAGAACAGCAGAACAATACACGGACATCCCCCTGTAGCCTCCAGCCTCACAGGAAAATGGCTCAAAGCCCAGGCTGGCTGGCTGGCGTTATCACCGGTGTTTGCCAGAGCACTGCCTCCTCGTTTCCTGGATTCCCCAGCATCACAGCTCTGACGTCCCTTTCTGTCCACAATGCCTTGGTCTGCTGCTGGGCCATGAGGAGGTGTCTGTCCACTCGTACCCCTGCCCGCATGCATCAAAGCCACCATGCCGCAAGCGTCAGCTGGAGGCCTGATCCCCAAGCAGGCAATGGTTTTAACTGAACATAGACTGGGGTTCTTATTTGCAAGCTTCAGAACCTGACAGGCAACGGCAGCCAGAAAGAATGCAGAGGGACATCAGGTAGCTCTGAGACCCTGGAGAAGCAGATTAGAGGCCACGCCGACAGACACAGCCAAGATCAGCTACAGGGCCGGTTCTTGAAGACCATGGGCAGGCAGTGCTGCCCATGCCCTGACACTGGTCAATACCCACCCCTCGAAGCCCACTCCAGGCCACTGCCCAGAGCAGACCCGTCGGCTGCCAGCACCCTTTACAGAGGGGACCACAGCTGGGTCCCTTGGGCACCAGCTCATGACTCCGGCTTGACAGACCTGTCTGACTGGCTTGGCCCAACCCCTGCCTGGCTCTAGCTGCAAGGGAGGCTGGCAACGGCAGCAGCTTGTCCCTGCTTCCAGAATGAATCCTCCTAGAGGAGGGGCCTCTGAGGCTGGGGGCAGAAAGAGCACTGCTACCACACTTAGAAATGGTTGCCAGCCTCATGTGGCGATGCACACCTGTAGTCCTGTTACAGGGGAGGATGAGGCGGGAGGGTCACAGGCTTGAATCTTGCCTGAGCAATTTAGTCAGACCCTGTCTCAAAAATGAAACAGGGCTGGGGGATGTGGCATGCCCAGAGCCCTGGGCTCCTCTCCCCATGGTCTGTTCCACCCTAGAAGAGGTGGCAGCTCCTACCCAGGGCCCTGGGACAGCCTGCCGCAAAGTGTCCCCCAAATCCACCTGCAGCTTTTGACTCCAAAGGACAAGCCAGAGCTTCCTGGAAAGCTTTCCGGGAACAAAAGGGAGGGAGTGGTCACAGGGTGGAGGTGCACCTCACTTTTCCACACACACACCTGGGTGGCCCAAGGCCCAAAGCACACTGCAACATTTCTGCAAAGACAATGACAAAGAAAAGCTATATATGGAAGCTGGTGCACAGAGACAGACAACAGACGATCTCAGGGACCCGAGCTGGGCTGGCTTCTGCGGGGGCGCAGATGCCGACGGACCCGAGTGGTGCCCCCTGCAGGGAGTGAGAGGCACAGCTCCTCCATGCTGGGCCTCCCTGCCTCCCAGGGGAGTGTTTGTTCCACAGGAACAGAATCCAAGTCGACCCAGAGCAATGATGGTGACTTTATTTAACTGCTTCTCCAAGGACATGGATCTTGCCCTGAATGTTACACCAGCCTCAGAAAAGCCGGCGAGGGGCAGAGAAGGGATTCTCATTGTCACAGGCCTGCTCCTGGTCCTTCCTGCCACTGAAAGGAGGAGCATCAGGAAGAAGCTGGAGTATGGTGACAGAGGGGCACGGGCGAATGCTGACCTTGGCAGCCTGGGATGGAAAGCCAAGGACACTAAAGATTCAGATGAAAGAGTCTGAGGGAGATGGGTCTGGAGCCCATTACACACATTCACAGGTCCCATGGGCTTGGGGGACAGCATCCAGGGCATTTCTGCTGCGGGACCCACTTGTAGTGTGGATTTCAATGGTGCTGGCATCGGAACCTGCAGGGGAGGAGAAAGAAGGCTGAGGGGGCCTCTGGCCAACCCAGAAAACTCTCCCTGGGCGTGGTGGTGCACACCCGGAATCCCAGCACTCGGGAGGCTGAGGCTGGAGGATCACCGCAAGTTCGAGGCCAGCCTGGGCTGCACAGTGAGTTCAAGGCCAGCATGAATGACACAGCGAGACCGTGTCTCAAAAAAACACAAAACAGGCAAATGCTGTCACTTCTCAGCAACATACTGAGATTCTCCTAGAACAGCTCTGGTTCAAGGCCTAGCTCTATGTCATCCACAGTGTACTCTGATCCAGCTCTTATTAGACCTTTCCCAGGCTTGGGCACGATCCCACAGCTCAACTAGAGAGAAGGGTCACAGGGCCGCTGTGGAACCCAGGACGGCTGACTGCAGAGGTCTCGCAGCCTGAGGACACGAGCCACCTGAGCCAGGGCAGAGTGCTCTCCGGTGACCGCTGGCCACAGGAAGGAGGCTGCCGGTCTCAGCCCCTGGCTCTGCCTGTGGTAAGTGTGGGGACCAGAAAGCCACCGAGTGCCAGGAAACAGTGGGCGTGGCCGGGAGGTGTTTACCAAGCCAGCTTCTGTGCTATGGACAGAAAGTGCCACCCAGGATGCGACCAGGAGGTGATGCATGACACAGAATATGCGTGTCGGAATCTGCGCACTTCTCAGGCACAGGGCTCAGGGCATGGGCTTATTCCTCAGTTTCCCCTTTTCCCCCACCCCCCTTCCGCAACACAGAGGCTCACGCACGCACAACCGCTGAGGTGGGAAAAGTGCAGGCAGTCAGCAAGATAAAGCAACGAGTCCCGCTCAGCAAGAGAAGCCCCGCAGGGTGCTTTCCTCATACTGGTAACTCCTGTCCCTCCGCTGTAGTGGGATCCTTGGGGACAAGTGGCAGAACTGCTCTTCTGTCCTCCAAACACCCCAGAGCACCAGCTGTATGCCAGGCTGTAGGCCGTGTGTGGGGAACCCGGACTGGGAGGCACAAAGAAGGGCCTTTTCAAAGTGACTTTCCCAGGGGCCAGGGATTTAGCTCAGTGGTTCCGGCGCCTGCCTTGCAAGTGCAAGGTCCTGAGTTCAATCCCCGGTACCAAAAAAAAAAAGACTCAAAGTGACCTTCCCTCCACGAATCTCCCACACCCCTCCACTGATGGTCACCGCTGACCATCGAAGCCACCTGTGTCCCTCTCTACTTGCCCACGGCTACCAGGCACACTGACCCCCTCCAGCCCCCCCCCCAGCTTGGTCCTGCCCCAGGGCCTTTGCACATCTCTTTATTCGGCCTATAAGGCTCTCCTCCAGATTTTCCCACGGCTCACTCCTACTCTTCATATATCACCTCATCCTCGGAGAAACACTGGGGTCACCATGCTGAAACCATGCATCTACCCCTCTCCCCAGTAGGTTTTTCTTCTTTATCACTGGATACAGGCAAGTGCCTGTCAGAGCCGGGTCACTCACAAGGAGGCTGCACAAAGCTTTCTTTGCAGAGCTACCAGGCACCAGCCGGGAAGACTCCTCGAAGGGACATTTCTGGTTCCACAGAGCATTCCTGCCATGGGGGCTGGGGCTCTTCAAAAAGACTTGGTTCTCACAGGGTCCTCACTGTTCTGAGGACAGCCTGGGCTTGCTGCGGTCCAGGGACCACGTGGTGGCTTGCGTTCTCAGTCTGGGCTCAGGACACTGCTGCACGACCTCACACTTCAGCACCCGCTGGTCCTTCCTGTGGCCGGTGCCTGGGGCTCCACGGGGGACCTCAGGCAGGAGGCAAAGCCAGCCCCATCTGTCCTGAGGGAGAGGGAGGGCACCAGGGTCTCCACGGGGTTTCTCCTCTGGCCTCAAGGTCTCCCTGAGCCTCTCACTACCTAACCTAAGAGGGAAGGAAGCCTTCCCTGGTTCACTCCTCGGATGAGACTTGCAGCCCGGGAAAGCTCTTAGGACCCTCCCAGTCCGACGATGACCTGCCTGCGCTTTAGGTGTCTCCTGAGCCTTCATTTCTTGGATGCCTTCAACCTTCAAAGCCTTGACCCTAGAACCAAAGCCCCCTCCAGCAGACACCGTGCTCCGCCCAACTGCATTGAAAGGTGATAAACCGGGTCAGCCCCACCCGACAGAGCCTGAGGCCTGGGCTGTGTTCTAGCCCAGACTCCCCCACTTCTCCCTGTCAGCACTGGAGTGAACCAACAGGGCGCCTCTTAAACCTCCAGAGAAAGGAATGGAGCCCTGGGCCTTGCACAGTCCATGAGAGCAGCCCACCACTGAGCATGGGTGTTTGCCCTCCTGAAAGAAGTGCCCTAGGAATTCATTTAGCTTTGGAAAGATTTTTTTTTTTTAATTCCATATATCAACAGGTTTCTGTTGCAGGAAGTTATTTTAAAACTCAAGTACACACAGACGAGGCTACGGCACGGCACCCACTTAATCTTTCAGCTTTGTTTCTGAAAAGTGGAAAAGAATTAGGGGAGGCAAGGGGGATTTTGTGTGTGTGTGTGCGTATTGTGTTTTTTATCGCTGGGGACTGAACTCAGGGCCTTCACGCCGAGCAACATCCCCACCCCACCCTCTTTTTTCCTTTCTGACAGGATCTTGCCAAATCACTAAACTGCGTGGACTGCGCTAGAAACTGTGGTCCTCCTGCCTCAGCCTCCCACAATGCTGAGATGACAGGCATGCACCACCACGCCTACTGAAAGAGAAATGGAACATAGGAGAGAAAGGGAATGGTGTGAGAGAGAACAGAGATTGTAACAGAGAACGGAAAATTGTACGAAAGCATGAGAATTCTAGGGAAACAGAGTCGCGGCAGAGAAAAAATTTGGAGACAGCCACGGAGAAGGGTGAATGTGGGAGACAACAAATACGTGGAACTGTGGGGAAATGTGAATGAGAATGGGGAACTATGGGAGAAGGAGTGAGCGCAAGGAATTGTGGGAGAGGGAACGTGGTCAGATTAGAAGAGTGCAGAAATGCTCGTTCTGGGGAGACCAAGGCACTGAGACAGAAAGAGAAAGGAGAAAAGGAGAATTTGCAGGAGTGAGAGGATGGGGTCGAGAAGTGAAAATCTCTGACGAGAAAGGCTAGAGATGCATGAGAATGGAGAAATACGGAAGAGGATGGGGGAGGGTGTGAACAAATGGAAATGTCCGGGAGAGCAAGAAATAGGGGACACGACAGAATTGCAGGGGGGACACGGAACTGCCATCCTTTTCCAGGGTCCAGCAAAAACCAGGAATTGTGGGAGACATCAGAGAAGTGGAGAAGAAAGGAATGGGACAGAACCAAGGAACTGTGGAAAGGAGGGGTGGCAGCAGATAGGGAATCTCAGGAGCAGAGGACTGGTCACCGCCAGGCCTAAGGGTGAAGTGCTGATTGAGCTTCTGGCTGGTGTTCGGAGACAGACCTCCCTATCCCAACAGTCACAGCTGAGGTCATAGTGGTCCATGAGGCTGTGGCGTCTCCATAGCAAGGAAGCACTGCAGCTGAGCACTGAGGACTCTGTGCAGCCATTCTCTGAGATAGCACGACAGCGAGGTAAACCAGGTGGCTCGTTAGCTAGGACCTGCAGATAGCACAGGTGGCTTGCTAACTGCGACCAACCGGTCCTTCAGGAGCATACAGTCACTCCCTTCACAGCCGGGCTCATTCACGCATGGTGCCTACAGCTGCGTTCACGCCCCCTTGCTCTGTTGTAGAAACTGACCGATCCAAAGCTCCAGGTCTGAGCCAGGACAGAGCTAAAATCAGGGGATCGTTAGCCAGGAGACAGCTAGAGATCAGCTCCCGGCCCCCCAAGTAAGAAACTATGGCTCACTATTCCTTCTCGCTCTTTGCATACTATTCTTTCATCCCCTGCTGTCCCCTCATCAGGCAACCGGGTGTTCCCTGGTGACTGGTCAGGCTGACGACAACCGGTCGGGATATCAACAGGACAGTGAAACATAAAAAAATAATAAAAATTTAAAGGAAAAATAAGGAGGGGGTAAAAAAGAAGCTACATGAACAGCTTCCCTGTTTATTTTTCTTTTGGATCTTAATATTCACTTTTTCTAAAGACTCCTTGTGAAAATATCCATCCTTTGTGTGGCAGACCAGGCAAGAGCTTGCTGGAAAGGATGAAAATAAGGAAGGATTTGTAGGGAAATGGATGCACCTCAAGACCATTAGGTTAAGTGAAATAAATCAGACACACAAGCTTAAATATGTCATGGTTTCTCTTATGTGAGAAATCCAAAATATAAGTAAAGAGCAAACTAAAAGGTGGATAATAGGAAATACGGAGGTAGATCTTTTGCAAAAGGAAAGAGGACTGAGATGGAGGGAGGGCTGGAGGGGAGGGGATGAAAAAGAATTAAGATGTGTTATGTACATGTGCCGACTCCCCCCAAGGAATGTCATCATTATGTACTGCAAAAGTGAACAAAAAAATACAAATTGAAAAAAGATTATGAAAACAATTTAAAAAATACAGAAGGCCTGACTGATGCAGCTTGTCCACGGTGATTGTGGTGGGGCCCAGGGCAGATCTGAGTCATTTGTTGTTGTTGTTATCTGTAATGTTTTATTTGACTCTCCAAGATGGGTTCAGTCACTGGAAACTACCAGGACTCCAGTACAAAAAAGCCAAGTAATTCCAGATGACGTTTTCTGGCTCATTCCTCAAGTGGTATCGGTAACTGCTCATGCTAACAGCAGTTCTGAATGGTGAGTTATTTGTGGATGACATGACGCTCTACATAGAAGACCCCAAAAACGCCACCAAAGGCCTGGGGATTTAGCTCAGTGGGTCTGCCTCCTGCCTCACAAGCACAAGGACCCAAGTTCGATCCCCAGTACCAAAACAAGAAATTCAGCTCCCAAAAACGCCCCCAAAAGACTTCTAGATTTGATAACCAAATTCAGTAGCAGAGCTAGATACAAAGACAACACTCAAAAATCAATGGCATTCCTGCACACGAATAACAAACTCAGAGTTTCACAATAGCATCCTTTCACAATAGCGTCCCCCAAAATGAAATAGCTAGGAATCAATCTAACAAACGAAGTAAATGACCACTACATTGAAAACTACAGTACTCTGAAAAAGGAGATCAAAGAGGATATCACATAATGGAAAGATATCCCCTGTTCTTGGGTAGGAAGAACCAATATAGTGAAAATGGCCATACTTCCAAAATTGTTATGCAGATTTAATGAAATCTCCTTCAAAGTTCCAACAGCATATCTCACAGAATTAGAAAAAACAATCCTAAAATTCATTTGGAACCAGAAGAGACCTAGAATAAACAGCAAAGGCAATTCTGGGCAACAAAGGCAAGGCAGGGGACATCACAATCCCTGACCTGAAATTATACTACAAAGCTGCTGTGATTAAAAAAACAAAACAAAACAGCATGATACTGGCAAAAGAACAGACCTGAGGATCAATGGAACAGACTAGAAGATGCAGAAACAACGCCAGACACACTCCGCCACCTCATCTTCGACAAAGGAACCAAACACCCTCACTGGAAGACAGATAGCCTCTTTAATAAATGGTGCTGGAAAAACTGGCTTTCCACATGCTCAAGACTGAAACTAGACCCATATCTTTCACCACGCACTAACCTAAAATCAAAATGGATCAAAAATCTAAATATTAAAACAGAAACACGAAATCGGCAGGAAGAGAGAATAGGTAGAACGCTTGAGGACATGGGAGTAGGCAAAGACTTCATGAACAAAATCCAGACCTCATGGGAAATACTACAAAGAATCAACAACTGGGACCTCATCTTATTAAAAAGTTTTTGCATAGCAAGAGAAACCAGCAACAAAGTCAAGAGACAATCGTCAGCGTGGGAAAACATTTTCACCAGCTGTCCCTCAGACAAAGGCTTACTATTTAGAATATATAAAGAACTCAAAAAAATCAATCCCCCCAAATTTAGAGATCCAATCCAAAAATGGGCATCTGAAATGAAAAGACACTTCTCAGATGAAGAAGCAGAAAAAGCAAATAAATACATGAAAAAATGTTCAACATCACTGGTCATTCGAGAGATGCAAATGAAAACAACGCTGAGATTCCACTTCACTCCAGAAAGAATGGCTGCTATCATGAAATCAACCAATAACAAATGCTGGCGGGGCTGTGGGGAAAAAGGAACGCTGGTCCACTGCTGTTGAGAGTGTAGACTGGTGCAACCACTGTGGAAATCAGTGTGGAGATACCTCAAAGAACTAGGACTAGGGGCCGGGGATTTAGCTCAGTGATTCTGGCGCCTGCCTTGCAAGTGCAAGGTCCCGAGTTTGATTCCCAGTACCAAAAACCAAAAAAACGAAAATTAAAACTAAACTAGATTCCATTTGACCCAGCTATTCCCCTTCTTGATATCTTTCCGAAATTATTAGAAGCATCACACCACAGAGATACATGCACACCCACCATGTTCATAGCAGCACAGTTTGTAATAGCTAAATCTTGGAAACAGCCCAAATGCCCATCAACAAATGAGTAAATAAAGAAAATGTGGTTTTTTTATACAATGGAGTACTACTCTGACATAAAAAAGGATGAGCTTTAGACATTTATAGTTAAATAGATGGACCTTGAGACCATATTCCTAAGTGAAATAAATCAGACACCCATGTTTAAATACTGCATTGTTTCTCTGGTGTGAGAAACTGAAAGTGTAAATAAGGACTAAAATGTATAATAGATAATGTGAAATAGGAAGAAAAGGGGCAAAGGGGAAGGGGAAGTAGGAGGGGGAGGGAGAAAGGAAGAAAGGGAGAAGAACAAAAAGTGGAACTAGAAGGAAAAAATGGAAACAAAGCTTTTGTACATAAAGAGGGGATTTTAGGGGAGGGGGAGAAGGGGGAAAAGATGTGGGATGTATCATGTACAGGTGCAAATTCCCTATGATGAGTGTTATCATTATCTATGCCTAAGATGTACCAATAAAGGTTTTGCTATAAATAAATAAATGAAACAAAACTCACCAAGGAACCCTAGGACAGAGGAGTATGTTAGGAAAGATTTATGTCATAAGTTGCAAGCTCAATTCTATAAAACAAATTTTGCTATCAATTGGAACTATAAGGATACTTTAGTCTATTTAAGATTCTGAAACTAAAAAAAAAAAGAGGGGCCAGGGATGTAGCTCAGTGGCACTGCATCTGCCTGGCAAGCACAAAGCCCTGAGTCCAACCCCTGGTACAAAAAAAAAGGACAAGATTCTGAAATCAAACTCTGAGGTGAAAGTTGCCATCTCCCAACTTGAACAGCTAATTTTTTCTCTTTTAATCTGACTGTACCTTATCAAGAAAACAGTTTGGAGGTGGGTTTTTTTGCTTTTTTGTTGTGTTTTCTGAAGCAAGGTCTAAGTTGCCCAGCCTGGCCTTGAACTTGCCACCCTCCTGTCCAGCCCCCTCCAGCCGGGGTTACCCGTGTCTGCCACCACGCCCCACTGTAGGGCCACGTGAGAGCTCCGTGCGGCCAGTGGGCGGTTGCCCCTTCGGCCAAGGCAGCAGGAAGACATCATTTCGGAGCCCCACATTCCAATGAGCACACCCAGGTGAGTGCATGGCTGCGGGGAGTACTTGCGGGACAACACACTGGAGAATGCAGAATCTGTACCACAGATTTCCATATGCACTTTGGGATGCAACTGAAACACTGACAGCTGCCTGATGCCCCACATTAGGGGTCTGCAGAGCACTGTTAGAACGCTGCAGCGCTGTGAGCCCAGGAGAGAGGAGAGGAGCCAGCGGGAGCGCATGTTTCTACACCTTGCACGCCCCAGGCAAGCTGGACAGATTCGAGGCACCTCTAACCTGAGGGAATCTGATGCTAACATCCACTGCCTCTCAGCAAATGTGTCCAAGTGACAACTTACCACATATTCAAAATCCCATCCAGCCAAACTGGGAACCAGTTATGCATACAGGCTGCAGTGCTTAATAACTAAGCAAAGGCGCCATTAAAATATGAAAAGGGGAGGTGAGAGGTGAAATGTAAAACCCCCCATTTACACCCGTGTTTGCTAAAAGATTTCTAAGGAGCCAGGAGGATCTCAAATTTGCAAGTTCAAGCCCAGCCAGGCCCTGTCTCAAAGAAGGATGGGGACACAGCTCAGTGCAAAGGCCCTGGGTTCAATTCTAGTACCACACACACACACACACCACACGCACACGCACACGCACACACACACGCATGCACGCATGCACAGGATCTCCCGGGGAGCACTGCAGCTACCTTCAGACAGCACGTTCAGGGCCTCGTCTGAAGTGTGCTCCCCAACGTTCACTACCTTCCTGGAAGCCGGCCTCTCACCGGGCACACAGGAGCTCTCGGGCGGCTGGCAGGCCCCCTCGGAAACCGAGGTGGTCATGGATTCCCAGTGGATCAGCGTCTTGGGGGACTGAAAGTCCAGGCAGCAACCTGTCCAGCCATAGAAGGCCAGGGACAAGAGAAATCCTTGCGCTGGGTTCAGTATGCCCTGGGCGGGAGAAAGGCAGAGACACAGGGCGGTCAGGTCAGGGGAGCTGGAGGGATGCAGGCCGCTTCCCATGGCCCAGGGCCGGCCTCCTTTGCACAGGCTGATGACCTGGTGGTTTGAGCAGGACAATGACGGGCTGCAGTGGGTCTTCAAGGGGCCTAGAGAGAAAGCGGTGGGCAGAGGGAAGGGAGACAGAGGGAAGGCAAGAGGCAGGGGAGGGACAGAGGAGGAGAAAGCTGGAGGGTGCTGGCAACAGGAGGAGATGAGCAGCAAGGGAAGGAACATGGGGGGAGGAACTCAAGCCTCGAGAACAATGGGCCAGCTGCGCCTTCTGTGCCTTCTACCGGTCACTAGGGGCCTGGACCAACATCCCTCCACGTGTGTGGGACAAGCAGGGAAGCTCACCGAGGAACCGCGCGGGGCTCCAAGGCGAGGCACAGAGACCCGAGGGGCAGGGGGGACAGCTGAGCTGGACCGTCAAGCTGATGAGCTAGACTGCCGAGAGCACTGCGGGGGGCCTGCTCCTGGGTGTGCCTGGGTGAGCCTGGAGTCTCTGTCTGGTCCCCGGTTGGTTCCTTCCTCTCTGGCGCTGTTCCCCTGCTCTGCTTCCTGGCCTCCACGAGCTGGGCTGCTCCATCGTGCCCTTCCTCCACGACGTTCCTGCCTGGGAGCCGGCTGGCCACGGACTGAATCCCCTGAACCAGGAGCCAAGTTAAACCGCTTCCTTTGAGTTTCAGATATCAGGTATTTTGTCCAGGAATAGGAAAGCTGAGAGACACACCTCACGAACCTGATTTTCTTCAAGTCGGAAGCAACACCATACTAAGACTGTATGACCGAGCGTGTGCCTTTCAACCAACAGCTCGCTATAGCCGTGATGGAATGGAGACCCTGAGAGATGTCCCCTTATTATAATTTCATGGTTTTCCACCCAGTCCTACAGTATTTTATGTAGTAATAATCTAAATTTATCTGTTACTTTTCCCACTTAATAATACAGTTCATCATTGTCATTTTTAACCTCTGGGTAATGTTCCTTCAAGAGGAAGGCCAGGGCCAGGGATTTAGCTCAGTGGTTCGGCTGCCTGCCTCGCAAGTGCAAGGTCCCGAGTTTGATCCCCAGTACCACACACACGAAAAAAGAGGAAGGCCAGGAACTGGGGGTACATCCCAATCGTGCAGCATTCGCTTCGCTCGTGCAAGGTCCCGGGTTCCACGCCCAACACCACTCCCTCAAAAAAGACTAAAGACTGTGAATGGTAGAACTCTCCCCCTTGCTTTTCTAAATATTCTTTTTCTGTGTGTGTGGATTGTCTTTATCTTCATCCTCATCCCTTTCCCTTTCTCATGGTCAGAAATATCCTTGCAAGATAAAACCTCTGAGCTGGGCATGGTGGTGCACATCTACAATCCCTGCTACTTGGGAGGCTGAGGCACAGGCTGAAAGGTCGAATCCCACCTGGACAACTCAGCCACTCTGTCTCACAATAAAAAAGCAAAAAGGGGATGGGGATGGAGCTCAGTGGTAGAGCACTTGACAGGCATCAGTGAAACCATGGATTCCATCCCCAGTGTGTTAGTTACTCTTCTCATCGCTGAGACAAAATACCCGACACCCCCAGTTAGAGGGGAGGGGTTTATTTGGCTCACAGTTCATAGATTTCAGTGCATAATGGACTGGCTCCAAGGCAGAGTGGCACATGGCAGAGGGGCGTCTCAGAGGAGAAACAGTTCCCAGCACCCACATCGCAGCAAAAGCAACAAGGGGCCTTAACAGGGTCTTTCTGCCCCCTTTATCCCATCCAGACTACTGGGGCTAGGGCGGTGCCAAACCAATGGCTTTGGTGTCCTGGTTTAGTAATCACACGCCCTTAATCCAGCATCACATATTCCAGATTCAGCCACCTCTGGAAAAGACTGCATGAGGCTTTGGGGGACATCTAGACACAAGCCAGAGAACCAGCCCACAAAAAGAGGACGGGCGGGGAGGGGAAAAGATAGATTTAAACGAGAGTGGCCTACCATAATAAACCACGTAGTCTTGGCTGCGTTTCTGATGCGTCTCAAAGACTCTCCGTTGATATCTGGTTGCATCTCAAGGTAGAATAAAAGGCTTTCATTGATGATATTGGGCAACCAACTGTTAAGAGAAAACGGGCCACAGGGGAAGAGAACATACAATAAAATTTCACTTCCAGGCTAAGGGTCAGGGAGTAGTTTGTCCCAGCCTGAAGCACCAACCCTCAGCGGAGACTGGACCACATGGGCTTGAGTAAATTTAATATGCTTTCTCAGCCGGGAGTGGCAGCACACATCCGTAGTCCCGGCACTCGGGAGGCTGAGGCAGGGAGCTTGCTGAGAGTTGGAAGCCAGCCTGGGCTCCACAGTGAGTTCAAGCCAGCCTGAACTCAAAACATAAAGAAACAAGGACAAAGACAAACTCTCTAGACATTCATGAATTCTGGGCTTGCTCCCCTGTCCTGTGTGTGCTTCTTCGGCGGGCACCAAGCGAGGTCTGAAAAGCATCCCCTCCGGCCCCTTCCCTCTGGAGCCCCCAGGTCACACTTGGCAAACCAGGGTGGCAAGCTGCTGCTATGCCCCTTCCCATTGCAAATCAAGAAGAAGAGGGAAAGTTACCAAGCAATTAAAACCAGCATGACTTTGAAAAACCGCCTCTGGGTCACGGCCCCTATCCGCCGCTCGTTCTCTGTGTAAATGCCTTTTCTTCCTTTCAGTAAGGACGCCACTGTCAAGAACACAGGGGAGGATGTCAGGGTTCCTTACTCGTGTGGACCGAGGCACCAAGCAGGAAATCCTGGTGGATGCAGTCCCCGGCGAGGCAGGCGAGCGCCAGGCAAAGGGGTCCTGAGGCAGCCCCACAGCCTCCCACTTGGCGGGCGTCTCACTTCCGCGGCAATCTGAGCTTCAGGCTTATCTAGCACAGACAAGCCCTGCAGAACTATCCCTGTCCTCCTTACCCTGTGGCTCCCGATGTCAGCGTCAGACACAACCACAGCACGTCTGTCATAACTAAGAAAACAACACCGACACAGTATGAACTAAACTCCTCATTCTATTTGGATTTTACTAGTTCGGGTACAATTTTTTATTGGGTTTTGTTTGTTTGGGTTTTTTTGCACTACCTGGGGATCGATCTCAGGACCTTGTGCTTTCGAGGCAGGCAGCAGCACCACTGAGCTAAATCCCTGGCCGCCCCCCCCTTTTTTTTTCGAGTCAGGGTCTCACTATGGAGCTCAGGCTGGCTTTGAATGGCCAGCAATCCTCCCGTCTCTGCCTCCTGAGTGCTGGGATTACAGGGGTGCGTCACCATGCTCAGCTTTAGCTACTATATTTCTGAAGGTTTGTTTTCTCTCTTATGAAAGAATGCACACTTGTTATTTTAAAATACTGAAAAATGTAACATTTCTCCTTATAGACATGTTAGAATGCATTAAAACGTTTAGCAAAGGGCTGGGGATTTAGCTCAGTGGTTCCGCCGCCTGCCTCGCAAGGGCAAGGTCCCAAGTTCAATCCCTGGTACCAAAAAAAAAAAAGTTTAACAGAAAAATCACAGCTAGGGTGTAGCTTAGTGGTAGAGTGTTTAGCATGTGGGTGGCCCTGGCTTTGACCACAGCAACACAAAATTTGTTTTAAAAAAGAAAAAAAGAACAATTGGTCCACAGTCTTTCCAGCCAGAGATAAGTACTATAAAACCTCACACTGAACTTTTTTGTTTTTATTTTTACTCTTGCTGTGCTAGACTAAGGCTGCATAGAGCAAGGCTTCATGTATAGTAAGTAAATGCTTTACCTCTGCGCTCTTTCACATTCCCGACCCCTGTAGCGTACTCCTTTAGTGTCTTTTTAATTCTTGGCGTTTTTGTTTTGTTGTTTGAGACAGAGTCTCACTCGGGAGCTCAAGCTGGCCTTGAACTTGCTGCAATCCTCCCGCCTCAGCTGGGACTACAGGTGCATGCTTTTCTTTTCAGAGCTTTAATAAGTCGCTTTCATTCGTGAGAAATAATCCAATCAGTGTCTGTATGCAATGCTGTAAAAGCTTGCTGTGTTTAGCGTACATTTAAATGTAGGCAGGAAAAGACTCATCCAAAGGGACACAAGAACTTCCTATTACAGGTGACACAGTACTTTCAACAACGTTCTTAAAAAGTTCTACAACCAGGAGCTGACCCTCCAACCACCTGGTAAGGCAAACTTCGTCATTCCCATTCTGCCTCTGAGAGGCCCCCAGCAGCCCTGGGCGGTGGGCACGCCCCCCCCACCCCCCCACCCCCCCGGTGAGACGGAGGGCGGGATGCAGAGGCCCTCTACAGGCTCTCTTCTAGTTTCCCCTGCCCCACTTCCTGTTTCCTGCTGTCTGCCAGGTGCATTATGGGAGTGACCAGCCCCTCCCTTCCATCCACTTCCGGCTCCTGCACCTGTCTCACCCCTGAGTTCCCCAAGGCCACCTTCATGGCCTCCAGAGCATGCTAAGGGCAGAGCCTGGCACAAAATGAAAAATCAACAAGCCCTGGCCTTGACCTAAGAAATGTCAGCACGGAACCGGCGTCGTTCCTAAGTTGGTTGGTCGTTTTCACCTTCTCCAGCTGTACGGCACCTGCCAGCTGTCCCTGGTAATCCCGCTAGGACAGTGTGGATTGTTATCTGAGCCCAAGGCCTGGGGCTATGCCCCCTAGCCGGGTGTCCAGAGTGCTACTGTCATCACCTGCAGCCACTGTCTTGTGGAACAGCACGGGGTTGGCCACCAGGACGAGCAGCATCGGCAGGTACGTGGTGACGTAGTAGGGGATGGCGTGGTCCAGGCCCCTCTCACACCTGAGGCGGAACAGCAAGTCACCCTTAGGAGAAAGGCTTCCCTAATACCTGCCCAATGATCCGTGCACACGGGAGACAGGAGGGGGAGGGTGTGACTGGTTCAACTCCGCCTGCAGAGACTCAGGCTTCTGAGAACAAGCAAGAAACTGTAGGCTGTAAGGGAGCTTGTTGTGCTTCTAATAGATGGGAGGCCCCTAACGCATTCTGCCGGGGAGGCGGCTGCAAAAAGGTAACACGGGAAGACATTTTGATCACACGCAGTGACCCACGCCGGTCATCCAGCTGCTCAGGAGGCTGAGGCAGGAGGATCACACGTGCAAGGCCAGCCCAGGCAACTCAGAGAGACCCTGTCTCAAAATAAAAAATAGAAAGAGCTGGGGGTGGAGCTCAGGGGCAGAGCACTTGTTGCCTAGCATGCTCACGGCCCTGGGTTCAATCCCGACATTGGAAAAAAGTAAAGGCAGGAAGAGATTCTGTGAGGGTGGATTCTGTGGGCCGGGGCCCCTTTGCAGGAGAAAGTCCAGTTGGAGCGGAGAAGACACAGGAGCTCAGGTGACTCACTGGGCTTGAGCTCCACCTTCCTCCTCGGCCTGGGCCAGAAATGGGCAGCTCCAGGCCCTGCCACAGAGCAACCTGAGGCGCACAGGCTGCGGATGTCAAAGGGCTCTGCTCTCCGGTTAGGAAGAGCGGCCCTGCCTTCTGGGGGCTCTGCTCAGGGAAAGGACAGGGTACAGAGCCACGTGCACGGGACGCCATGCGGTGGGAATGAACGGCCAAGACAGACGAATGCCGTGGGGAGGGCAAAGGGGACAGGAATCCGGACTGGAGGCCAAAGGGACTGGGGAGGCTCAGTCCTAGCAGAGAGAGGCAGAAAAGTCCCCGTGGCCGGGCTGAGAAGGGTGGAATGACAGGAATGGAAGTGCTCTTAATCTTCACGGAGTCATCAAACCAGAAGGGGAAAAATGGACCGGGTGTGGTGGCCTGCAACCCCAGCATCCAGGAGGCTGAGGCAGGAGGATCGCCACCAATTCAAGGCCAGCTTGAATTACACAATGAGAGCTTGGCTCAATAAAACAAAAACAAAAACAAAAAGGAGGAGGGCAGCAGAAAATGCAAGTTAAAAAAAAACAGGTAGGAAAATGGCGATACTGTTGGGGGCTGCCACAGGAAGGACGACTGCACTCCTCAGTTTCCTTCCGACTCCCTGCAGCTGCGGAACCTGAAACACGGTCCGGAAAGACTCTAACAAAGTCAGGAAAGACGGGAGGAGGAGAGAAAGAGCAAGAGCCAAAGGCTAGGGTGCATTTCGGTGGCGGAGTTCTGGCTGGCCCGGCCCGGCCTGTGTGAGGCCCTGGAGGCCACCCCAGCCCTGCACAAATCAATCAAGCCCTCAGTGAGATAAAGTGACAAACGGGACAGGGAGGCCGCGCCCTCAGAGAGGTTACAGCGCGCGCACACACACACACACACAGAGGGAGAGAGATGGCGACAGAGTAAGACCCCTAAATCAAGCCAAGCCTCCCGAAGCCCACGGGAAACACCTCGGGGTCCCCATGTGCTCTACAGCCAGGGCATCCTCACGTTCTCAGCTGCAGCTCCTCAGGCCTCACAGTTGAGGGCAAGTAGTAGAAACTCCAGGGAGAACCATTCCGTGCCCCAGCTGTGAGTGACACCACATCTGTCCCTGTGACTGTGCATGGCTGACTAGGCAACGCCAATTCGGAGCCGTCTGAACAGCTGAGAGTCGAATTGGAAGGGAGAGAATTCTACTCCAAGCAAGTATTTCAACTCTGTCGACCCACCATGGTCTCTGCTGCAGCTATTCCACTCTGACTTTTTGGCAGATAAGCAGCAACAGCTGGCACAGAAACTAATGGGCATGACGGTGTCAATAAAACTCTATTTAAAAACACACAGAGAGGGCTGTGCTACGCTGATCCCTGACCTATACGATCAGAAATCATAAAAGGACACTGCCCACTTCATTTTCTCCATTAGCAGTTAGCACAGGCTCGGGTATATGTGGCTCAGTGAGAGTGCTTGCCTAACATGCAGTACGGCCTGGGTTCAATCCCCAGCACTGGAGAAAATACAGACAATTTAGAGGATTCATCCTTGTGGGGGCCTTGAGGCTTTGCAGATAGTTGCGCTGATGGGATTGAATTTGTTTTGGTGCTGGGGACTCTCAGAATCTTAGCCTTACCTGCTCATCCAGAGCTTGAATAGAAATGAGAGCGTCGTGAGGCGGGCACAGCCATGCGGAGTGGGGCAGAACTCCATTCTGGCGTGCAGAGGTACACGGCGGGGGTGGGGTGCGGTGGGGGGCGACCCGGGGGCCTTGCACACATCCTGGGTGCCCTGGCGCCTGCCCTCACACAAGAAAGGCAGAGGCGGGTGTGGTGGCTCAGAGAGTCCGAGGCCAGCCTGGGCTACACAGGGATTGCGATGAGCAATCAATTGGCTGGCTCTGTGCATGCAACAGCAGCCTGAGGAGTCGGCCGTTCACGCCATGCAGTGCACGAACACAGGCTGGCCAGGGTGACCCCTGCGGCTCACCTGGACACAGAGGGGTAGTAGAGCATGGCGGCTCCCTCGGCGCTCAGCAGGGTGGCCAGGCCCCAGGCCATGAGGTGGTAGAGGACCATGGTGCTGGGGAGAGACAAGAGGGTTGCCATGGCGCAGGCTGGGCTCACAGCAGGGGTGGAGACACCTCCCAAGCGCTTCCACTTCTGCCTGGGGACCACAGGCCCGGACACAAGGGCTGAAGCTCTCTGTGAAGGGCCGCCATAGCTGTGCTTCTGCTTTGGGTTTTCTGCTTTTCGGTGAGGGAGAAATTCATGGCCATAACGTAAACTTAACTGTCTTAAAGCGAACCATTCAGGGACACTTGGCACGTGTGCCGTCCTGTTTAACCATCACCACCATCTAGTTCTAGGACATTTCGCCACTCCAAACAGAGCCCCGTCCCCATTACCAGTCACTTCCCATTCCCTCAGGCCCACAAGCCGACAACCACCAGGGCTTCTGCACCGAGCTCCATCCCCAGCCCTTTTTTATTCTGAGACAGGGTCTCACGAAGTTGCCCAGCCTGGGCTGGACCTTGTGAATCTCCTGCCTCAGCCTGCCAGAGGGTTGGGATTACCGGTGAGCCCCACCACGCCAGCTCTGAACATTTCCTATGAACCAAAACACAGAGGCCCTCCTGGTCTTACGCCTGGCTTCTCTTGCTCCACGCGTTTTTGAGCTTCATCCGTGTTGCAGTGCTTCCTAGCTTCTTAGGGCTGAATTCTATCCCATTCTGTGGACAGACTGACTGCATGTGGATTCTCCATCCATCCGTAAAGCACACTGTCGTCCCTATTACTGGGCTACTATGAACAGTGCAGCTGTCCACATGGACACACAAGCAGTCCAGTTCCTGTTTTCAATCCCACCAAGAGGTGGAAATGCTATTATATAGTTATTTAGTATTATAGTGGTGGTGGGGGGGGATTTCTAAGTTTTTTCTTCTACGTTTGTTTGTTTTGTTTTTTTGTGGTCCTAGGGCTCAGACCCAAGGCCTCACATAATGCCAGGCAAACACTCTACCGCTGAGCTACACCCACAACTGCTCTATGTTTAACTTATCCTTTTCTTTTTTGTTGGGGGGGGGGGAGTGGTGGGGATTGAACCCAGGGCTTTGACACTGAGCTTCATCCCCCAGGCCTTTTTAAAATTTTCTGTGTAGAGACAGGGTCTCATTATGTGGCCCAAACTGGCTTCTATCTCCTGAGCTCAAATAATTCTCCTGCCTCAGCCTCCTGAGTAGCTGGGTCTACAGGTGTGTGCCACCAGGCCCACCTCCAATTTTGATGATATCCACCTAATACAAATGGCTGTTTTTGACACCTAACCTAAACATGACTCATTCTCTATAAAACCATGGAATAGGTAATTAACCTTTAGAGGATACGAAAGCACTGTTCATTTCTCATCTGCTATAATCAGAGTATCTGAGTCTCCACAAAATTCCTATTTGAAGCCAGGAGTGGTGGTGCGATTCTATGATCCCAGCAAGGCACTCTGGGAGGCTGAAGCAGTAGGGTCACAAGTTCGAGCCCAGCCTGGGCAATGCAGTGACTCAGTGAGATCTTGTTTCAAAATAAATAAATAAAAAGGGCTGGGGAGGTAGGTCAGTGTGAAGGCCCCGGGTTCAGTCCCTAACACCAGAGAAAATGTTTTTCCTATGTTGAAATCCAATCCCAAAGATGATGGTGTTAAGAGGTGGGGCTTTGGGGAGGTGATGGAGGGCAGAGCCCATGGATGGGATCAGTGTCCTCATCTCACAGGCCTATGCCAGCCCACTGCCCTTTCTACCTCATGGAGGGCGCACTGGGAAGACACCATCTATAACCCAGGGAGCCGTCCCTGGGGGGGCAGTTAGGCTCCAGACCACAGCAGGTGCCATCTTGGAGGGCGCAGGACTCTGTGCCTAACCTGTCCCACTCAGTCACCCCCTAGCCCGGCCCAGGAAGACACCCAAGGCAGGAAAGCTCTCAAGTCCAAATCCAAACACCCGGCCCACGACTAGCCCCAACCTGCTGCTCACGCCTTGGTGGCCCTTCTGTGAACGACACAACCCTCGTGGCCGGTCGCTAAGGCGGTCTGCCAGGCCCATGTCTCTCCCCACCCTCCCATACGCTGGGCTCGCCCTGCAGCCACCTGTGAGGGCAACAGAAGAGGTAGGGCCGGAGGGAGACTCCTCATCCTCCACACAGGGAGGGCGGCTCTATGGAAAGAATAACACACAGCGCTTAAGGGTGATTCGGGTCACACGGCATTTATTGGCCTCCTGTTTCCCGAGGGAAGGTTTTGCCTGTTGCCAGCCCAGACAAAGCCTCTGCCCTCACAAGAGGGAGACAATCTCCAGATGCTGTCCATCTTCCAAACCCCAGGATGGGGGGCCAGGCAGAGAATCTGGGGTGGACAAGATTTTAGATGAAATCAAGCCCAGAAGTGGGATCAGTCTGAGACAAGACTGTGCTCACAAACTAAGTAGCCAAACTAGGCACAGGCCTGAAATTCCAGAGGCTGAAGCAGGAGGAGCTAGCAAGTTCAGCCATAACATAAGTTAAGTGTCATAGCCAGTCTATGATACTTAACTAGATCGCCAAAAAAAGAAGTATGCAAACTCTTGTGATAAGCGGAATAAGGGTCCCCAAAGATGTCCATGTCCTATCTCCAGAAGCTATGAATATATTCTTTTATGTATTCATGTATATGTTGAATATATGGAAAAGTCACCTGAGTGAGGATGTGATTAACGGTGTTCTGAGATGAGGAGGTCGTCCTGGCTCATCTGAGTGACCCAGTGGAACCCCACGGATCCATAAAAGCAAAGACTGTCTGGGCTAGGAATGTACCTCAATGCTAAAGCATTTGCCTAGCACATGTGGGCCCTGGGTTTGATCCGGAATAGTACAAGAGAAAATAGGAAAAAGGAAGAAAGAAGAGCAGAAAATCAGGCCGGGGATTTAGCTCAGTGGTTCCGCCACCTGGCCTGCAAACACAAGGTCCTGAGTTCGATCCCCGGTACCAAAAAAGAAAAAGAAAAAAGAAAAGCAGAAAATCTTTAGCCGCGACAGAGAAAGAACCAAAGGGTTGGGAGTTTGATGCTCCACTTCCCTCAGTGGCTGTGGAGAACACAGAAGGGGCCACAAGCCAAGGAAGGTGGAAGCGTCTGGAAGCTTCTGGAAGCTGCCCTGTGTGACGGGTCAGAGTAGAGGGCCATGAGCTGTGGGTCCTCAAGACCACAGGGTGGTGTCTCTTTGCATCTAAGTGTAGTGAAAAGACCCTTTATTCATTTATCTGGACAACACATCTTAAAGCTCCCAAACTAGACTGAGCCGGGCATGGTGGCACAGGCCTCAGTCGATACCACCCATCACTCCTGGCCAGCAGTACCCCACTGCTTGCGGTGGGACTAGAAGTCCTAGATCAGCGGGGTAGACAGACAGCAGCAGGGACGGAGCACGGGACCCTGAGACAGAGTGGAGACAGGCGGGGCCAGCGCACCAGAGCAGGACCCCGCTTGGGCCGGCTGGCGCTGGTGCCAGCTACGGGGTGGGACAGGCGGGCCGCGGACAAGGCCAGGCCATCCGAGCCCCAGGGCCGAAACTAACTGCCCGCCCTGCCGGCCTCTCAAACTGCCCCGGAAGCTGCGCCAGCAGACCCGGCCCTCGTGTCCCCAGGGAGTACCTCTGTCCTGTGGATCTGCGGATCACCAGATAGGCGTCCAGCGCGTAGCAGAAGAGCCACCAGAAGCAGGCGCTGTACAGCAGCTGGATCCACATCTGGAAGCAGGGAGAGCCCGGCATGAAGGATTCTGGATGCAGGGACTCGGCACCCAACTCACCCGGGAACCAAGAGGACCACATCAGCAGGCAGCACTGGGGGACCGGGGGACGGGGACACGGGTGCATGTAGCCTCTGGGGCCCAGCAGGGTGGGAGGGTGCGGCAGTCCTCTGCCTTGGGGACACTTGTAGGTGGGGAAAGGCCTGAGGACGCACTGGGCTTCTTCTGAGAAGCAACGAGACTCAGAGGTGGCCCTGCTGGGGTGGGAGAGCAGTGGAAAGGACTGGGGTGCCCCGGGTGTAAGCACCAAGGCACCACGGTGCCAGGGCAGATGCAGAACACACACTGATGAAGACATGAAGAGGAAGACAGCGCCCCCAGTGGGAGGGAGGGGGACTCCTGGGTCAGGCAGCAGGACCAGGAGATGACTTAGACTTATTCATACACAGGTATCTACACAGAGTCAGCGTGTGCTGAAATGGATTGCAGTAAGCACAAACAGCCAGTCTCCTTGCCCCTACCTCCCCGGTCTGTCCCCAGAGGGTTCTGACTATGGCTCTGTGCACACTGACGTTCTCCATAGCGAGGCATGGTGGTGCACACCTGTGATCCCAGCACTCAGGAGGCTGAGGCAGGAGGAGAGGGCGATGGAGGGAACCGAACTCACCGCACTCCCCACGCAGAAAGCAGCAGGCCATGTGTCTGTCCCATTCTCAGTAGATATGTGTTCAACAAAATCTGGGAAGGAGAGCCCCACGGAAGACCGGACGACGAGCCCTAAGCGAGAGGCAGATACCGAGGTGTCTGATCCAAATTCACATCTAACGCTGACTTCTTGCTCCATAAACATGACAGATATTATAGAAAAATAAGGGGGGGGGCAGGGGATGGTGCCACATGCCTATAATTCCAGCACTCAGGAGGCTGAGGCAAGAGGATTGCTGTGAGTTCAAAGTCAGCCTGGGCTACACAGTGAGTTCAATGCTAGCCCGAACTACATAGTAGCGAGACCCATTCTGTTCCACACAACACCGAACCTCTTTGGCTCTTCGGGCCACACTGTCTCTGTCCAGCACCCTGGTGCACCCAGGTAGGCAGTGGGGCTCCCAGACAAGGGCAAACTTGGGGCCCAGCCATGTCCCATAACACTTCACTTATGGGCAATAATGTTTATATTCTTTGGTTGTTTTTGTGTTTTGATTTGAGGCAGGGTCTCGCTTTGTGGTCCAGGCTGCACTTGCTACACAGCCCAGGCTGGCCTCCAACTAACAATCCTCCTGTCTCAGCCTCCTGAGTACTGGGATTACAGGCCTTTCACCACGCCCGGCATAAATTCTTGTGATACTCACGTGTCAGCAGTCTGCTGATTTTGAAACCTTAAAGGCACTGTGGGCTGGGCCCACAGAAAGCGTACAGGGAGAGGCCGGGTCAGTTGGATGCAGTCCGCACCTCAGGGGGTAAACACCAAAGGTGAAGGGGGCTGAGGTGTAGCTCAGTGACAGGCACTTCCCTAGTACGCGCACGTGAGGCTCTGCGTTCCATCACCCGCCCACGAAACAGAAGGTTTTCGGTCAGGAAGCTAGGCACGGTGGCCACTCTTGTAACGCCATCTGTCTGGAAGGCTGGGGCAGAAGGCCTGCAAATTCCGGCCCAGCCTGGGCGATTTAGTGAGCTAGCAAGCTCCTGTCTCAAAAAAGGGCCAGGACGGTAGTTCAGTGCAAAGGCCCTGGGTTCAATCCTCCAGGCCGGGTGCGGTGGTGCAGCCCTGTAATCCTAGCAGTGCTGGAGAAGCCCTCCTGGGCAAATTAGCCAGCCTGTCTCGGAATAACATAGAAAAAGGGCAGGGGGTGTAGCTCAGTGGTGGAGGGCCCTTAATTCAATCCCCAGTACCAAGGGCGCAGGAGAGAGAGAGCGAGAGAGCGAGAGAGCGAGAGAGCGAGAGAGAGAGAGTTAGTTTCGTAGACGGGAATCACCCGTCGTCTGGCTCGGCAGGATTCCTAGTCACCCACCCAGTCCCTGGGCAATTGCCCCAGGCTTCCTCGCTTTTCCCCACAGGGAGAGCGCAGACATCCTGCCCAACCCGCAAGCCGCCCCGCGCCCTGCGGGGGCACCGAGCAGGACCCCTTCCGCGGGATCCCAGCGGTCTCCCCCGCGTCCGCGCCCGACCCCAGCCCCGAGCGGGTCTCCCGCGGCCGCGCCCCTCACCCAGGCAGCCGAGCGCGTCGCAGGCGGCGGCGATGCGCAGAATGCGGACCGGGGCGGGAGAGGCCGCAGGCGGCCGGGGAGCCGCAGGCGGCAGCAGCCGCAAGAGGCCGAGCGCCAGGCGGAGCGCGCCGCTCCCCAGGCACAGCGCGTGGAACTCCCGCGCCCGGAAGCCGAGCACCAGACGCGTGGCCGCGTCCCGCGTGGGGCAGCAGGCCGTCCCCAGGCGCGGGGAGGCCATGGGCCGTGCTCGGGCGCGGTGGGAGGCAGGCGGGACCGCGGCAGCTTGTCTGGGGCTGCAGGGGCGGCAGGCGCGGGGGCATCATGTGCCGGTGCCCGTCCCCGTCCCGCGCGCTGGGGGCCGCGCACGAGGCCTCACGAGGCGCGCCTGGGGCGGGGGGAGGGGTGGGGACCAGCGCGAGGGCGGCCTCTTCCCGGGCACCGCTCCTTCCGGTGGGCCGAGCTCGGACCCAGACCCCGGGCTGCCGGCTCCTCTTGCCTGGGCTTCTGGAGAAACAGAAGTGCTGCTGCCTCGCTGGGGCTCTGACGGCCGCACTCGGTACATGTGCCTGTCCTGAGCAGACCGTGGTTAAAACGGCCCTTTATGGTCCCTTTGCCCCGTGGAAACAGCCCTGCAGAGATGAGATTTGCCTTTACAATGAAGGAATACGGCCAGTTGTAGCGGCGCAAGCCTAGAATCCCTGCACTATGAGAGGCTGAAGCAGAAGGGGCCTGGCGAGTCTGAGAACAGCCTGTGCTACAGAGCAAGACCCTGCCTGTCTCAAAAAAGCAGTAAGCAAGTAAAACAGTTAGGGAGTAAGGGGCTGGAAGGGTAGCACAGTGACCGGGTGCCCGCTTAGCCTGTGGGAGACCTTGGGGTTCGTGCCCAGCATTCCCCCCAAAATGAAGAGAAATCCTAAGGAAAACTCCTTAGCCTAACTGGACACCCACACACTTTACACCTCAACTTCAGCTGTTCCTTTCTTACTCCGCTCCAAAATGCAGTTACTTTTTTTTTCTTTTGGTATTGGGGCTCGAACTTGGAACCTTGTGCTTTCGAGGCAGGCGGCAGAACCACTGCTCCAAATCCCAAAATGAAACTCCGAATTAGCTTTTAAAAGTAACTGTGTAGAGAAATGTTTATTCAAGTTGGTGTGGTGGGGCACACCTCAGCTCAGAAGGCTGAGGCAGGAGGACTGCAAATTCCGGACCAACTCAGGGAGACCCTGTAGCTCAGTCCAAAGGCCCTGGATTCAATTACCAGTGCCATCAACAAAAAGAAGTATTCGTTTACTATGATTTCTCCTAACAGCTTTAACTTTTCTATGTTGTCTTATACACTGAAAATCTGTATTTGGTATATATGTTGCAAAACTGGAACATACTGATGAAAACCGTAAGTATGGAGTGAAAGGGGTTTTTTTTCCTTTTAAATTCTTTATGGTTAAAGATAAAAAGATGGAAAAGTTCCCTGTAGATTATGGCATTAAGTCTTTGTTTTTTTCTTGAGACAGGGACTCACTATGTAGTCCAAGCTGGCTTGAACTCACTATGTAGCCCGGGCTGACCTTGAACTCACAGCGATTCTCCTGCCTCCGCCTCCCAAGGGCTAGGATTATAGGTCTGCACCATCATACCTGACTTGGCCCCTCCCTTTTTTTTTTGACCTTATTTAAAGAAAGAAAAAATGAACGGGGCAGGGGGTGGCTTTGCGGTAGAGCTCTTGCCTAGCACATGTGGGGCCTTGGGTTCCAGCCCCAGCACCCTCCTCACCCAGACAAGAAAGGAAAGAAAAAAGGAACAGCCCCTCGGCGGTGCCATATTTATTATCATCAGCAAGAACTTCCTGTTTGGGACAGCCTCCTTTTGTTCTGTTTTGCCTTTTGTTTTGTTTTGTTTTGGAGACAGGGTGTGGAGTTCAGGAGGGCCTCGAGGCCACCACCTAGCCCAGGCTGGCCTCCAACTTTCCAGGATCCTCCTGCCTCAGCCTCCGAATAGGCTCATTTATGATCAGGAAACAACACCCTTTGCCCACTTTCACTGCAAAAGAGCTCCCTTCCAGTTGTTTTCAATCAGTCAAAGCTAAGGTGCCCAGAGGCTTCCAGGCACTCTTCTGAAACATTTGGTCGTTGGGCCAGGGATTTAGCTCAGTGGTTCCGCTGCCTGCCTCACAAGTGCAAGGTCCGGAGTCAGATTCCCGGTACCAAACAAACATTTGGTCGCAAACACTTCTGTATCACCGCCCCCCTGCCCGCAGGCTCCTTCGCACTTCCAAGGCCTTGTGAAGAAGAGCAAGCTTCCGGCTTGCTCCCTGGGGACCACAGGCCTGGGCTTCTGGTTGGGCCGAGGAAGACGGCAGAGCAGAGGAGACAGAGGGGAAGCGGAGGCCTCTTGAACAATGGGCTCCAGACTCCAGGGCTTCAAAGGACCTCTGCAGCCTCCCCGCTGGAAGTGCATGCCGCCTGGAGCCTCAGCAGCAGGAGGCGCGGAGGGAGGTTCCCCCATGTGGCCTGCGGAAGCGTCGACCCTCACGTCTAGTTTGTGTGTTGTTTTCTGGGGTTTTTTTTGGTACTGGGGATGGAACTCGGAACCTTGCACTTGCAAGGCAGGCGCCGGAACCACTGAGCTAAATCCCCGGCCCTCCTCACATCTACTTTGGACGGCTGGTCTCTCTGCTTCTCTTGGCCGGCAGAGGTGGCTCAGGGCTTGGGGCCGTCCGTGCAGACCTGTCCAGTTGCATTTCTGCTGTCAGCCCCTGCTGCACACACTCTGCCTCTCAGCTCCCCGCCTATATACCTGGAGCCCCCCCCCCCCCCCCCCCCCCATGGGACGGACCCCGGCCTGCTGCTCAAGGACGGGGTGGGGGGTGGGGGTGATCAGAACTCCTGTGGAGGAAATCTGTGAATGACTGGGGTAGCGGGGGGTCGACCCGGATGGATGTGCAGCAGCAAGGGTACAGGAGCAAATCAGAGCCAAGAGGATGAGGCAGGCTGAGGCAGGCTGAGGCAGGCTGAGGCAGGCTGAGGCAGGATCGCCACGAGTTCGAGGCTAGCATTCAAGGCCAGCCTGTACTGCACAGCGAGGTCCTGTCTCAAAAAAAAAAAAGCAAACTGAGCTGGGGATGTAGCTCAGTGGCAGAGCACTTGCCCAGCATGGTGCAGACCAGGGCCTGATCTCCAGCACCAAAAACAACCAAACAACCCCAAAAAAGCCAACTGAGATGTAACCCCAACATCATAAAATTCCCTATCTTAAAGGGTGTACTTCAGTGGGCTCTGGTATGTTTATAAGGCTGTGCAACCTTTACCTCTATCTAAATCCAGAGTATTTTTATCACCCAAAAAAGAAACCCTGCCGTCCTTAACAGTCGCTCCCCATTCTCTTCCTCCAGCTCCGGGCAGTAACTCATCTTTCCCTGTCTACAGATTTGCCTACTCTGGACATTTGACATAAATGGTAGTGTACAGTGTTTGCTCTATGGTGTCTGGCTTCTTTCACTTACCAGGAAGCTATCAAGGTTCATCCGTGTCACATGTCTCTGTTAAAAGAAAAAATTTTTAATGATTCTATAATCAGTGGAAACATTGGTTTGAGGAAAAAGAAGACAAGTACGGAAAGCCATTTGAGGAAAATGAAAATATAATCAGCATTTTTAATTTTGAAGACAGTTTCTGTCAAAATGGCTGCTGTTGGACTTGGGCTTCTGCTCAGGGGCACAGCACTTGCCTAGCAGACGTAAGGCCCAGCACCTCAGGGTGGGGGGAAAGGAAGAAGGAAGGAAGAAAAAGAAAAGCCAGCTGTGGGTTTGGAACCCACAGTGACATATTGTTGGCTAATGTCTGTTGGGTCCTTTTTTTTTTTTTGCAGCACCAGGGATCGAACTCAGGACCTTACACTTGCCAGGCAGGCACAGCACCACTGAGCTACATCCCCGGCCCTGTTGGGTCCAATTTTTGAGGATTTTCTGAAGCACAGAAGAAGTTTGTGAAAGTATGAAGAGATGTTTGGATCAAGTCACCCCTGGGAAACTGGAAATAAAATTGCCCCTAAAATAGAGTCGTCACCAGCTTGTGTGGCAACCTCATGCAGGCACTTACACACATTGACAACTGACCCACAATTCCATATTTCTAGTACACTGCCTCTTTCTCATATTTATCTGGTGCCTCACAGAAGTTCTTGTCTCTTCCCAATTCCCCTTCACGATTATGTTCTTACCCACAATTCCAGTTCATCCACAATCCCTCCTTCCTACAATTCTGTTTCTTCTACCATCCATCCTTACCATGATTCTGTTAACTTCCACAAGTCCTTGTTTTACCCCAATCTCTCTTTCCCACAATTTTTTTCTCTCACACATTTCCTGCTTCTGACACAAAACATCTCCACGTACTGTATCAGTATTTACCCACAATTCCAGTTCTGCTAAAGTCTCTTATTTTCACAATTCCTGTTTCCACAACAATCCCATTTCCCCCAACAATTCTCTTTTGCCTCCCACAATTCCTTGTTTTTTTCGGAAATTCCTCTTAAATTTTTCAGTTCTTGCCCACAATTGCAGTTCTGCTACTATCCTTCCTTCCCACAATTCATGTTTCTGCCACAATTGTTTCCCACAAGTCTCTGCTGCTTCTCATAACTTTTTGATTCTGCCACAATTCTTTCTTATAATTTTCTATTGTTACCACAGTTCTGTTTTCTCCCTTAGGTGTTTTTTTTTGGTACTGGGGATCAAACTCAGGTCCTTGTGCTTGCGAGGCAGGTGGCTGAACCGCTGAGCTAAATCCCTGGCCCTCCCGTAAGTTTTTGTGTCTGCCACAATCCCTCTTTGCCACAATTTAAGTTCTCTCCCAGAATTCCCTCTTTCTCCCACAGTCTCCGTTCGCCCCTACAATTCCCTGTTCTTCTCCATAATTCCTTGATCCTCTCACAGTCTCCACCTTCGCCACAATTCTGTTCTCCCTTTTTGGACAATCTCATCTTTCTCACAGTTCTCTGTTCTTGCCTACAATTCCTCACGTCTCCCGCAATCTCCTTCCTACAGTTCTGTTCTTCCACACAGCTCCTTATTCCTGCCACAATCCCTCTTTCATTCATTCAGTCCTTAACACCAGAGGAAAAAAAAAGATTTTCAAAGCTGCCATCAAAAAACCCTAAATTAGTGTGAGAAATGAAACAAGTGAGAAACTTTCTCATGAAATAGTCCAACTGTAAGTACGAGGTAAAGCAAATTACATACACGTTTGTGTATGCATGCACTTGGGAGCCAGAAACATCCAGAAATATTGTAGATGTGAAAAATATAACGATAATCCCTCCATACGTGAGTTTTGAGACACAGTGGTACCTCGGTTCACGAATTTAATTCTTTCCACGATTCTGGTCACAAACTGACTTGGACAAGAACTGAATCAAATTCAATGGTTAGGTTCCATGTTGACCTTATGGGGAAATTTGATTCAGTTTATGTCCAATTCGGTTTGTGACCAGAATTGTGGAAAGAATTAAATTCATGAACCAAAGTACCACTGTACTGGTGCAGCATTAATGAGGACCTTTGAGTATATGAAAGTAAACTCCGCTCTCTCTCTCTCTCTCGTTAGTTATTTGAGACAGAGTCTTGGTGCATAGTTTAGGCCATGGGTCCCCAAGCTCCAGTCCACCCACTGGTCCCAGTCCGTGGCCTGTTAGGAGCTGAGCTGCACTGCAGGAGGTACATGGCAGCTGAGCTAACAGGCTTCATCTATAACTACAGCCACTTTCCATTGCTTGCATCACCATCTCAGCGCCCCTTAGCAGGTCAGGGGTGGCATGAGATTCTCATAGGAGCGTGAGCCTTACTGTGAACTGCGCATGTGTAGGATCTAGGTTTGTGCTCCCCATGAAAATCATCTCTCCTGATGATCTTGAGGTGAACCCAGTGTTATCATCGGGGAGCAGCTGCAGATACAAGTTAACATTAGTGAAGAGGTCCAACTGCACAGAATCCATAGTAAATCAGTTCCTTAGAGATTCAGATCAAAACCCTATCGGGGGGCCGGGGATTTAGCTCAGTGGCGCCGCGCCTGCCTAGCAAGCGCAAGGTTGTGAGTTTGATCCCCCCAAAATCCAAAAAACCCTCTCAGGGAGTGGCATGTGACAAACTGCATCTGGTGCGGGCTTTATAGTGGGGAGCAAACTGATGGACTTCAATGTACAGCTGCACCTGGTGGCAGGCCTCAAGTCGGAATTGCCACTTATTTTAGTTCGTGTGTGGCCTGCCCGTTCATTTATTGACCACTCCCATCCGAGCGTCTTTCCTACAAGGCACGCTTGTCTCAGTCACAGGCTTAAGAAGCCCTCAAGCTCATCCTAGCCAAAAATGGTTAAAAAACAAATAGCACTGGAAAGCTTCTCTAAAAAGGGAGAAAGACCCAAAGATGAGACAGCAGAAAACTATCCACAAAAAGGAAGCTGCATTTTAAAGAAAATATCAAGAGTCCTACTTAAATGGTGGGTTCATCGCAGCAGGTGATTCACATTTTCCAAACCCACTCTGTACAATACATGGTGGCCGGCTACCCAACGAAGCCATGAAACCCTCAAAAATGCTTCACCATGTGGAGACCAAGCACCCTGCATTCAAAAACACCTTTGGAGCTGGAGCTGGGAGTGGTGGCACACACTATAATCTCAGTATTCCAAGAGGCTGAACCAGAAACGCAGGGTGTTCGAAGCCAGTGTGGATTACACTGAGTCCGAGGACAGCCTGAACTACACAGTGAGACCCCATCTCAAAAAACAAACAAACCAACAAACCACAAACCAAACAATAAAACAAGACTCCTCTGGGGTTTTTCAAAAGAGAAAACATGCACACAAAAACCAAAAGCAATTATCAAAAGCCACCATTTCATCAAATGTGTTTGTACCAAGAGCGTCATTCTGAGTGGCTAACCTCATTCCTAAGGCTAAGAAGCCCTCTACTATTGAAGAATCGATCCTGCCTGCTGCTAAGGACGGACATTTGTTGTGAACTTTGAGAAGAGGCTGCAGCCCTGAAAGGGGGTGGATGTTCCTCTTTCAGCTAGCACTACTGCTAGAGGAATTGATGAAACAGCAGAGCAAATCTGGCCACAGTTGTCCACAGGCTCCGTGAGTCGCTGCAGTGTGTGACTCAGGTTGACAAGTCTACCCCTACTGACAACAAGCCAACAATGCTTGTTTTTCTGCGATATACTTTTCAGGATGGTTTGCATGTGGATATGATAGGTGTACTTTGTTTACCAACCAACACCACAGCTGCTGGGCTATTCAAGTGTCCGAACCACTACATTTCAGGAAAACGGAATTGCTCGTTTTATGTTGCTATATGCACAAAAGGAGTGGCTGCTATGACTGGACGGCTTTCTGATTTCACTGCACAGGTCACAGAGGTCACTTCTAAATATATGTCTAGAAAAAGTCACCACGGGCTGGGGGTTTAGCTCAGTGGTGCCGCCACCTGCCTCCCAAGTGCAAGGTCCCAAGTTCGATCCTCAGTACCAAAAAAAAATAGAAAAAGTCACCACGGGCAGCATATTTCAGTGACAGAATGAGTCACAAAACTTGCTTACTTGCAAGACATATTCAACCTGCTCAATGAACTCATTTCAGGAAATAACTCAAGTCAACAGAAAAAGTGGATGCATTCAAAGCCAAACTGGAATTATGGGGATGAGGAGGGGACACTGGGATTTTTGACGTTTCAGTCATTAGCAGAGACTTTGAAAGAGCCTGGGCCAGGGCCTTCTTTCTCCTCGCAGAGGCATGGTCACCTACCTCAGCTTTCAAGAGTCTGAGCATGACTTCCCACCCACGGAAGATCCCTGAACTGGGAAGGGATGATCTGCAGCCAGTGTGTGAATAAGCCAGGTGAATCGACTTTGCCAGTGCCGGAAGAGGATCAGCTGCTTGAGATTACTAATGACAGTGGACTTAAAAGTATGTTTGAGACAACCTCAAATCCCTGTACTAAGGTGCAATATCCTGAAATTGCTAGAAAAGCACTGAAATACTTGCTTCCATTTCCAACAACCGATCATGTGATGAAGCAGGGTTTTCTGCAGGGACAACCAAAATGAGATCCCACAGTGGACTGGACATAAGCAACGCACTTGAGGTGGCACTGTCTCCCCTCACCCCCGGAGAAGATCATCTAATTGTAGAAAAACACTTGTTTTTTTGGTACCGGGACTCGAACTCAGGACCTTGTGCTTGCCAGGCAGGCGCGGCACCACTGAGCTAACTCCCTGGTTATAGGAAAATACTCTTATGGCTCTCACTGATTCCGCTTTATGGTGAGTTGTAGATTATCTCAGCATATATCACAATGTAATAATAATAGAAATGCAGAACACAGTAAATGTAATGTGCTGGATCATCTCGAACCATCCCTCTCTCACCAATCTGTGCAACAGCTGTCTCCCAGACTGGTCCCTGGTGCCAAACAGGTTCAAGATCACTGCTGTAGGCCATCCTCGAGCTCACTGTGCAGCTCCGGATGACCTTGAACTTGAGATTTCCCTGCTTCAGCCTCCCAAGTGCTGGGATTACAGGTGTGTATCGGCTTGAAAGTATATTCATTATTGTATCATCTGCTCTTCCTTTTCTTTTTCTTTCGGTCTTCCTCTACATGCAGCACCTGAATCTTCTCTCCATTCTTCGTCTGGGCTACCTAGAGATTCTATCCCCCAGAAACGCTCTATTCTCGGCTCTCTCTACTCCATTATGCACAAGTTGCCTAGCATTCCCGCTTGATCACCTGCATTAACTGCTGAAAAAGGCTCAGTGGGTTTTTCTCCCAGCAACTTGTTTTTCACAGTGAGTGTCCCCTTGTCCAGATGTCTCAAAGAAAGCATTGCGTTTATAGTAAGAATCTTAGCCGGGGATTTAGCTCAGTGGTTCCAACACCTACCTCATGAACGCAAGGTCCTGAGTTCAATCCCCGGTACCAAAAAATAAAAATAAATAAATATAGTAAGAATCTCAGGTGTCACATGAAATCCAGGGGAGGAGCAAACCAGATGGACAGTGAA